CAGAGATTAGGATTGCAACTCTTGCTTTTTTTGCTCTCCATTAGCTTGGTAAATTTTCCTCCATCCCTTTATTTTTAGCCTATGTGTGTCCTTGCACATGAGATTGGTTTCCTAAATACAGCACACTGATGGGTCTTGACTTTTTATCCAATTTGCCAGTCCTTGTTTTTTGGTTGGGGCATTCAGTCCATTTACATTGAGGCTTAATATTCTTATGTGTGAATTTGATCCTGCCATTTTGATGCTAGCTGGATGTTTTTCTCCTTAGTTGTCACATTTTCTTCATTGCATCAGTGGTCTTTACCGTTTGATACATTTTTGGAGTGGGTGGTACTACTTGTTCCTTTCTATGTTTAGTGCTTCTTTCAGGGACTCTTGTAAGGCAAGCCTGGTGGTGATGAAATCTCTTCAGCAATGGCTTGTCCGCAAAGGATTTTATTTCTCCTTTGCTCATAAAGGTTAGTTTAGCTGGATATGAAATTCTAGGTTGAAAGTTCTTTTCTTTAAGGATGTTGAATATTGGCCCCCACTCTCTTCCAACTTGTAGGGTTTTTGCTGAGAAATCCACTGTGAGTCTGATGGGCTTCCCTTTGTGGGTAACCCAACCTTTCTCTCTGGCTGCCCTTAGCATTTTTTCCTTCATTTCAACCCTGGTGAATCTGACAATTATGTGCCTTGGGGTTGCTCTTCTTGAGGAATATCTTTGTGGTGTTCCCTGTATTTTCTGGTCTTGGATGTTGGCCTGCTTTGCTAGGTTGGGGAAGTTCTCTTGGATAATATCCTGAAGAGTGTTTTCCAGCTTGGATTCATTCTCTCCGTCATATTCAGGTACATGTATCAAACGTAGATTAGGTCTTTTCACATAATCCCACATTTCTTGGAGGCTTTGTTCATTTCTTTTCACTTTTTTTCTCTAATACTGCCTTCTTTATTTCATTGAGTTGATCTTCAATCTCTGATATCCTTTCTTCTGCTTCTCAGTTTGCTATTGAAACTTGTGCATGCTTCATGAAGTTCTCATGCTGTGATTTTCATCTCCATCAGGTCATTTATATTATTCTCTAAACTGTTTATTCTAGTCACCATTTCATCTAACCTTTTTTCAAGGTACTTAGCTTTCCTGCATTATAGAACATGCTTCTTTAGCTCAGAGAAGTTTGTTATAACCTACCTTCTGAAGCCTCTTCTGTAATTTCATCAAACTTATTTTTCATTCAGTTTTGTTCCCTTGCTGGTGAGGAGTTGTCATCTGGATGAAAAAAAAAGTTGGAGAAGAGGCATTCTGGTTTTTGGAGTTTTCAGCCTTTTTGTGCTGGTTTCTTCCCATCTTTGTGGATTTATCTACCTTTGGTCTTTGAGGTCAGTGACCTTTGGATGGGGTCTCTGAGTAGATATCTTTTTTGTTGATACTGAAACTATTTCTTTCTGTTTGTTAGTTTTTCTTCTAACAGTCAGGCCCCTTTGCTGCAGGTCTGCTGGAGTTTGCTGGAGGTCCACTCCAGACCCTGCTTGCCTGGGAATCACCAGTGGAGGCTTCAGAACAGCAAAGATTGCTGCCTGTTCCTTCCCCTGGTAGCTTCTTTCCAGAGGGGTTCCTGCCAGATGCCAACCTGAGCTCTCCTGTATGAGGTGCAGTCGGCCCCTACTGGAGGGTGTCTCCCAGCCAGGATACACGGGAGTCAGGGAGCCACTAGAGGATGCAGTCTGTACCTTATCAGAGCTTGAATGCTGTGTTGGGAAATCCACTGCTGTCTTCAGAGCTGCCAGGCAGAAACATTTAGGTCTGCTGAAGCTGCCCACTACTGCCCCTTTTCCCAGGTGCTCTGTCTTAGGAAGGTGTGGGCTTTATTTATAACTCTCTGACAGGCTGCTACCTTTTTTCAGAGATGCCTTGTCCAGTGAGGAGGGAGTCTAGTGACACAATCTGTCTGCAGAGACCTTGATAAGCTGCCATGGGCTCTGCCCAGTTCAGACTTCCCAGTAACTTTGTTTATACTCTTAGATTGAAACCACCTATGTGATCCTCAGCAATCGTGGATGCCACTCCCCCTGCCAAGCTCCAAAGTCTCAGGTTGAGCTAAGACTGCTGTGCTAGCTGCGAGAATTTCAAGCCAGTAGATCGTAGCTTGCTGGTTTCCATGGTGGTGGGACCCATTGAGTCAGATCACTTGGCCCTGGCTTCAGCCCCCTTCCAGTGGAGTGAATGCTTCTGTCTTGCTGATGTTCCAGGCACCCCTAGGTTATGAAAAAAGGGCTGCTGTGGCTAGGTGAGTTTCTGCCCAAATGGCCACCCAGTTTTGTGGTGGAAACCCAGGGCCCTTGTGGTTGTATAGGTACTGGAGGGAATCTGCTGGTCTGTAGATTGTGAAGACCATGGGAAAAGTGCAGTGTCTGGCCTGGAGTACAGGGAACATTCTCTAATGGCTTTCCTTGGCTAGGAGAGGGAGTTCCCCAGCTCCTTGCATTTTCCTGGGTGAAGCGATGCCCCACCCTGCTTTGGCTCACCCTCCTCGGGCTGCACCTATTGTCCTACCAGCCCCAGTGTGTTGAACCAGGTACCTCAGTTAGAAATGTGGAAATACCCACCTTCTACAGCAGTCTCTGGGAGCTATGCACTGGAGCTGTTCCTATTTGGCCATCTTGCCCAGGGACTAAATTTTAGGATTAAAAAAAAAAAAAATTCTGTGAAGAATGTCATTGGTTTTTGGATAGTGATTACATTGAATCTGTATATTCCTTTAGTATTATGGACATTTTTAAACAATATTGATTCTTGCAATATATAAACTTGGAATATCTTTCTATGTTTTTGTGTGCTCTTCAATTTCTTTCATTAGCATTGTACAGTTCTAATTGTAGAAATCTTTCACTTCTTTGATTAAATTAATTTCTAGCCATTTAATTTTATTTGTGGCTATCGATTTTATTTCGGATTGTTCCCTGCTGGCATATAGAAATGCTACTAATTTTGTACATTGATTTTGTATCCTGACACTTTACTGAATTTGTTTATCAGTTCTAATGTTCTTTGGTGGAGTCTTTAGGTTTTTTATAACTGTCATTTGGAAGTCATATGAAAATATCATTTAGAAACCATTTCCAAATATCATTTAGAAACCATTTGAGCATTTTCTTACTTCCTGGCACATAAAGTGTCCAAGGCTCATCTTGAACATTTTTTTTTTTGAGACGGAGTTTTGCTCTTGTTGCCCGGGCTGGAGTGCAATGGCGCAATCTCAGCTCACCGCAACCTCCGCCTCCTGGGTTCAGGCAATTCTCCTGCCTCAGCCTCCTGAGTAGCTGGGATTACAGGGACATGCCACCATGCCCAGCTGATTTTTAATATTTTTAGTAGAGATGGGGTTTCACCATGTTGACCAGGATGGTCTCGATCTCTCGACCTCGTGATCCACCCGCCTCGGCCTCCCAAAGTACTGGGATTACAGGCTTGAGCCACCGCGCCCGGCCTTGAACATTCTTAGTCCTAGCACTGGAGTCACCCATTTCTCTAAGGAGCTCTGGTTCCCTTCAGTGGAAAATGGTATTCATAAGCCAGGATCTGGGCACTAAGTGTGCTATTGCTATTGAAATGTCATTGTTACTTAGTCCTCTCAGTGGAGAGAAGTAGGGAATGTATGTTTTACACACACACACACACACACACACACACACACACGCATGCACACACATACACATACATTTACATCTATCTAATTATCGGCTATCCATTATCTATCATCTGTCTGTCTATCCATTTACCCATCTAGAAAAGGATGATTATACACTGATAAATCCATTTCTATCTAACGCTGTAGGATTCACGCTAGTTTTCTCTCTTTCTGAATCCATGACTTTTCTGCAAAAGTGACGCACCTGGCTTCCAGTATACTTAATTTACTTATTTGGTCAATCCCCTGTACATAGCCAACTCTCACTCATCCCCTTCCACTCGTGGATACCCTCCTCACCTCACGTGGGTTTTCCATGCCCTAGATATGCTCTGGCTGCTCTTTCAGTTCCCTCTCTGTGTGGACTCTGATTGCTTGGGCTCCTGCATCCAGGTCAGGCTGCTCCTCCATGTGGACGCCTTCCCCAGCACACTTGGAATCTGACTTGGAACTACCATGACTCTCTCCTTCACCTTAACGTGTGGCTACCACATGGCTGCGACTCACCTAATGGCTTTAGGATTCAGAAAGGGAGGGGAAAGGAAGGAGCAAAAAAGGGAAATGCATGAGTGCTTTTAGACATGCTGCCCAGTCAACTGACCAACTGACCATTTTTTATTCAGTGTTCATTGCATTAAGATAATTGGGAGGGGAAGACGGAATGCAAGATGTATAGGAAAACATGTTTCCTGTCTTCCAGAAATTTCAGGGGAGATGAAGTAAAAGCAATAAATCAAAACTAATAATTTAATAAGTGCTTCAGCTGAATGTTACAAATAATGTATGCTTCAAAGAAGGCAGAATGAAACCATGAATATGCTCTCCAAAGTCACAGTAGATGAACTGTCGCCTATGTTAATAATCAAAGTGGAGTTCTGACAGGGGCCCCATAACAACAGTGATTACAATGACACAAAAATGTTTATTTGCTGGTTGTTAGTCATTCAGTTCTATAGATTTCTCTTTAGTGTGCAGGAAGGCATCAGATAATACTTTCGTAAAGGAGTTTTTATTGCTTTGTTGGCATAAAACTTATTATAGAATATTACAGATAAAACCTGAAATAAATGTCACTGTTAGAGTCATCACAATAATTCTTATTTTTAAAAAAAATTGTGGATCAAATGAGAAATGTTTATTCTCTGATGAGAGTTCAGGAGAAGCTGACAATGCTAACTAGAGCTAGGCAGAGATAGTCCTATGACAAGCAGAGAAGCTGAATCTACCTGTCACTTATCTGGCCATCTCTTTTATATTACATAATGCCTAACACTCTACACAGACACCGGGAGAGTTCCATGAATGTAAAAAATCACCAATTGTTCATGCGGCACACTAGATGAAGCCCATCTTTATTTCAAGGTTTTATTGACAAAGTAAATTGAGATCTCTAGTGTCCTGGGGCACAGCTTTCTTGATGCACATAGTGGAAGTTCTTAGAATAACTCATTCTCCATTTAGGGTTCCATCTCTTGACTCAACCTTTAGAACAATGGGTTTTTCTGGTTGAAGAAGTCCTTGCACGCCTAATTTCAAGGGGATCTACAATAGTTAAACAAGCATATGGAGAATTAATAGATGAAATGAAAGCAAAGTAGAAAAAATACATGAATGACAGTAATGCTTTGGAAGCATATAAAAACTACTCTCAACACCATGTATCTTGGATTCTTCATACTTCATCTGTAAGCTGGGTAAATATTGGATAGTAAAAGCACTCACCGTCCATCATTTAACAAAATATTTATGGAGTACCAATTCTGTACCAGGCCTGAGACAAATTCTTGTGGACTTGTGTTCTTTTTTTATTTAAATTTTAAGCAAAAAGGATGAGTTTTCAAAATCGAATCCAGATTATTAGGTATTATGGCAAACTATTTTTGAAGAGCCATATAAAGTTAAATTTTTGTAGGTTAAAACTTCCAAGGTAGCTATTGTACAGGTTAATTATGTGGGCCGTTTTCAACTTCCAGAGTCTAATAACCCCTCCCAATTGAACCCATCAAGTGCAATGATGGGAAGAGGTCTTCAGGAAGAATTATTCTTTTCTTTTTAACATCTCCTCTTGGCTTCCAAGGGTAGTGCAAACAAGGCAGTTCTCAAGTCCTACAGTGTTTTGACTCAACTTCTAGGCCTGTTGTCACTGAGTTGCTCCGTCACTGTTGGGGGAGCCACCAACAGAGTAACATTCTGATCTCACTTCGGCGAGGGGAAAGCAAATTGCCATGGATACATGGAAGTGCCAGCCTGAGATGCCTGAGAGCTTGCCAGGGAGTATCTTCCCTGTCCCAGGTGTGCCAGGCCCACTGTCTCTCAGGGCTGAGCCTCCTGCCTGAATACACACATAGGAAAGCTACACAGATGCCCTGAAGCCGTAGATAAGATGGCAGCCATCTCCATCTCCCTCCTTTCGCAAGCACAAAGTGTACTTAAGGGATGGAGTTGCATATTAAATATGTAGGTATAGAAATAAGACTTATAGGCTATTGCTTAATATTAGTCAATGACATCTGCTCTTTAACTTCTTCAGAGAAAAGATTCTAAGTCTTTCTATAAATTTATCACCTAGAACATAAGGTCAAACATTAAGGATAGCCCTGCTCTATGGCAGTCCTTTATATCCGCTAGAAATGCCTCAAATTAGTCATTCTTCATCTTGGCTTCACTTGAGAACCAATCAGGGAGCTTTTAAAGTCATGCTGTTCTGGGGCATGTTCTGGGGCATGTTCTGGGGCAATTAGTTAAGAATTTCTGAGATGTCGCAGTCCTCATGAACTTTTTTTTTTTTTTTTTTTGAGGCGGAGTTTCGTTCTCGTTACCCAGGCTGGAGTGCAATGGCGCGATCTCGGCTTACCGCAACCTCCGCCTCCTGGGCTCAGGCAATTCTCCTGCCTCAGCCTCCTAAGTAGCTGGGATTACAGGCACGTGCCACCATGCCCAGCTAATTTTTTTGTATTTTTAGTGGAGACGGGGTTTCACCATGTTGACCAGGATGGTCTCGATCTCTTGACCTCGTGATCCACCCGCCTTGGCCTCCCAAAGTGCAGGGATTACAGGCTTGAGCCACCGCGCCCGGCCCCTCATTAACTTTTAAAGCTCCCTGATGATTCTAATATACAGCTAGTGGTTGAGAACCACTGTCATGAGAGAGCTTCTGCAAGTTCTGGTGATGGAGAACACCATTTAAAAGTCACAGCAGGGTAATCATTGCACTTGATGATTATGCAGAACACTTCCTCTTCCTTCCAATTGACTTGAAACTGAATTTAAACTTAACTAGGGTTCAGAGAGGCTGCACATAATCATGTCATGCTAATCTGCATTGACTTTACATGATGTTCTTAATGTTACAGGTTTTGAGGTCCAAAACCAAAGCACCCTTAATGATCAAAGATGGATCCAAACAGATTATGTGGACCATAGAACAAATTATTAAAAGATAAACATGCATATTCTTTTATACCCTTTGGTTAGAAACGTTCTTAATGGAACATGCAGAAAGTATACTGACCTGTGTTTCTTTACAAGGTTTGAAGGAGAAGTTCTGAAGGACTCTGATTAGAGCAAGTTTCATGTTCATGAGAGCAAACCTCATGCCAATGCAGTTTCTGGGTCCAGTTCCAAAGGGCGTGTATATGTAAGGATCTATGCTGTCCTTGTTCTTCTTACTGAACCTATTAAAAAGCAAATGAAACATAAAAACCACAGTTACATATTAGGAGTTCTTAAGAACCGCCCCCCTCCACTTCCCAACCAGTAGGATACAGGATACTTTTGTGAGCCGGTCATTGAAATCCTGCTTTGGTTATTTTGTTTAATAATTTTAACCTACAGGTCCTTTCCATTCTCCATATGCTATAGGAGCATTGAGCTTCCTTGAGATGAGGTGAATATTTTTGCAAATAATATTTATCTCTAAACCTAAAATTATATTCAGGGTGGCAATGTGTTCACGCTATAAAAGGCACATAAGTGATGAGACTGATGGATGGAAAAGTGGGTTCCTACCTCTACTGACACTAATGTTGGTCACATGCTCATTGAGAAAGGAGGAGAAGATGTCTTGTGCTGTTTCAAGTTGTTGCTCTTCCCTTTCCTTCTCCTGTCATCCATTTTTCTAATTCCCCTCCTCCTCCTCCTCCTCTCCACCTTCCGCTGTCTGCCTTCTTCTCTGCCTGCTTCTCCTCGTCGTTCTCTTCCTTGTTCTTCTCTCCGTCTGTTTCTCCCCCACATTCTCATAGAATAGTTTAAGTCGAATAATTTGCATGAGCATATGATGCTACCCTACTGTAAGGTTATCACTGCTTTCCTTTATCTGTTCCACTAGGCCAAGCATCCCCGAACTATGGCCCGCGGGCCACATGCGGCCCCCTGAGGCCATTTATTTTGCCCCTCCGCCGCACTTCAGGAAGGGGCACCTCTTTCATTGGTGGTCAGTGAGAGGAGCAGAGTATGTGGTGGCTCTCCAACGGTCTGAGAGACAGTGAACTGGCCCCTGTGTAAAAAGTTTGGGGACACCTGCCAAGGCTATAAGTTCTTTCAAGATTGACCCGTGTTTTATTCAAATTTGATTTCTAAATATTTGATTATAGTAAGGAAAAAATGTTGATTTGAGGAAAGTAATAATGACGTTTTTTTTTTTCTTTTTGAGATGGAGTTTCGCTCTTGTTACCCAGGCTGGAGTGCAATGGCGTGATCTTGGCTCACTGCAACCTCCGCCTCCTGGGTTCAGGCAATTCTCCTGCCTCAGCCTCCTGAGTAGGTGGGATTACAGGCACGTGCCACCATGCCCAGCTAATTTTTTTGTATTTTTAGTAGAGATGGGGTTTCACCATGTTGACCAGGATGGTCTCGATCTCTTGACCTCATGATCTACCCACCTCGGCCTCCCAAAGTGCTGGGATCACAGGCTTGAGCCACTGCGCCCGGCCGACATTTTTATATTATGTTTTTACAGGAGTCTTTATATTTTGGAGAACATTCGGAAATATTTACAGGCTTTGCTTCAAAATAACATGACAGTCAGGAGGAGAGTGGTGGTGGCATTTGGATGGGGCAGCTAACATGGTTTGATGGCTGTTGGGACCAGTGATAGATACATGGAGTTAGAGGAAAACTATTCTATAGGCTGGTGTCTATAGAGTACACTTGTGTATATGTGGAACATTCTCCTATACACACACACATATCTTATGATTTATATAAATCATATGATTTAGATAAACCCATTGATATAAATCTAAATTATATGATTATCTAAATCTAAATAATATATAAATAATAATCATATGATTTCAAGATTTATATATTAATCTTGAAATCATATGATTTAGATTTATATATTATTTAGATTTAGATAATCATGATTTAGATATATATATGATTTAGATTCATATATGACTTAGACTTAGATAATCATGATTTAGATTTATATATGATTTAGATATATATGATTTAGATTTTTATAAATGGATTTATATTAATCACATGATTTAGATTTATATAAATTTATATATAATCATATGATTTAGATTTATATAAATTTATATAAATTCATTTATATAAATTTATATAAATTCATTTATATAAATCTAAATCATATGATTATATATGAGGTCCTGAGAAGTCCTCATCCCTAATGGTTTAAGCCAATTCATTGAGGACACAAGCATACAGAAAGTATACTGTATATATAAATTTATATTTATATAAATCTAGATCATATGATTATATATGAGTTCCTGAGGTTCTGAGAAGTCCTCATTCCTAATGGTTTAAGCCACTTCATTGAGAACACAAAACATACAGAAAGTTTACCAACCTGTGTTTCTTTACAAGGTTTGAAGGAAAAGTTCTGACGGTCTCTGATTAGAGCAAGTTTGATTTAGATGACATACATGATTTAGATGATATGTATGATTTAGATGATATATATGATTTTGATTTATATAAATTTATGATTTAGATTTATATAAATTTACGTGATTTGGATTTATGTAAATTACATGATTTGGATTTATATGAATCACATCGATTTCTCCCTGCCTGGCCAAGTTTCTGACACATGGCAAGCACTATCTGTTTGGAGATTGAATGATTCAAAGTGAAGTACAGCAAGTGGTCTCTGATTTTGTATTAGTGCAGCCCCAGCAGGTGGAAGTACTGAGCTTGCAGGAAATATGAAGTCCTCTACCCCAGAAAACAGAGAACTTGGTCAGCTCTGACTTACTCTGTGAACAAGTATTATGTGCAGACTCTATGCTGGCACTAGGGACACCATGGCCAACAAGACAAGGTCCCTGCCATCAGCAAACTTGTAGGTAGGGGCCAATGAAAGTCTAGCTCCCAAGCATCCTGAATCACCAGCCAGTACCCTAAACATTTCATTCTAAATTTTGCTTAATAATACAATAATGGGAAAACACCAACTATGTCTAGAGTGCCAACTGTGCCCAAAGCCTGACTTTGTCCCTGAATTCCCAGAAGAGTATGCTCAAGACACCTCCAAGGAGGAGTGTATGAGATGTCTACTGAGAGTATAAGGGAGCTGGCACAGGACTGCCACAGACAGAACCAGGAGGACCTGTGCTGTCGTGTGTCCTCAGTGAAGTGGTTTAATCCATTAGGGACAAGGACTTCTCAGGACCTCAGCCTGCACTTTTATAATTACCATAGAGGAAACAGCAAGCAATGTTGAAAGAAAATGGAATGTGTGAGTCTTTTAAAGTTGCTGTTAAATTCAGAGAGCTAAAGGGCACAGCATAGAAAAAACTGCAAGGAATAAAACACCTATATACATGAACTAACATCATGGTTAAATGGTTTATGGCATATGCAACATATATATATATTTATATATATTTGTATTTATATTTATAGTAATGTAGGTCAGTGGATAGTTTCCTGTTAAATAAAGTAAGCAGCAATTCAAATCAAAAAGTGATAACATTCTAGTTTTAAAAAATCTATATAGGCATAGAAAAATGCCCACAAGGACTTAATTCATGATCTTCATTTTAATGTGTTGGGACAGTGGATGGCTGTCGTTTCATTTTTTCTTGTCTGTGATTTGCAAAGTTTGACCTTTATCACTTTTTTGTGATAAAAAGACTTACAAGCAAATGATTGTACAACCACACAATTGTCATGTAGATTAAGAGAGGCAGAATATGCTTGAACCAGCCTGGTTCAGGGTAAGCTCCATTTTCTCGGGAGCCTTGTACCTTTCAGGGCGGAACTCCTTAGGCTCTGTCCAGTACTTTGGGTCATGGTGAAGAGCATAGGTTGGAATCACCAGCAGTGTCCCTTTGGGAATGAACACCCCATTAATTTCAACATCTTTCTTGCAGACCCTCTCAAGTCTAATAGCAATTGGGTATAATCTGAGCGTTTCATTCACCACCATGTCAAGGTACTCCATCTGTATCACGGCATCATAGGTGGCAGGTGCCTGGGAAGAATGAAACAGATTTGGATAAACTGAGATTTTGAATTAACTTTCAACTCATTCCATGCAGTATTACTGAAGTGTTAGAAGCTCCAGAGAATAACTCTTACTGGTAAATGATCATAGCATTTGTAAAGTATTTTAACAATCGTCTTGCCCATTGATGTGCTCAGTGACCTACTGAGATGTGTGGAAGAGTTATGAACATAGGAGATATTCAGGACCAACCTCACCTCAGGGACTGAAATCCTTAGCATGACCATGTAGTGGTTTTCCTTTCTCATGGGAGAAAATGTGATTAATAGGCTGTGACCATTACCACCAAATAAAATACACCAAAGACACTATCATCTTTCAAAAAGAGGTCACATGTCTGTACCAAGAAAGAAAAACAGGGAAAAGAGCAAATCTCTTCTTCTACAAAGGATTATTGGTTGCAAAGTCCCACTTGGCAACTATTATATATATATATGAATGATATAAACACTATATTATATAAAAACTCCATTAAAAACTTGAGGATAGGCTGGGGGTGGTGGCTGCAAGAACTTCCCAGTGCCATGCCCCCTTCTCATCTCTCTCAATCCAGGAGATTTAACAGTTTATGTTTCAATTTCATGGGCACGGGAAGAAACTAAGGGTCAATCACCCCAGCAGAAGTTTTAAGGAACTCCTTTCATTAGCCAGAGGAACTTGGGGAGGTGGGAATTTCTCCCAGGATAAATTCCCATGCTCCTTCACCCACACCGGATGTCCTGCTCTCTGAAATTCCATCCCATATAGTGGGAGCTCTCTTTCCCCTCCTGGATTTTCCCTCTGGGGTCCCCTTCCACCCAGTGTGGAAGCTATCTTTCCTTTCCTGGATTCCATCTTTCTGAATTCTGTCACTCAGTGTGAGGGGAGTTTTCCTTCTCTGGTTTTCTCCCTCTGGGACACCTTCTCACTCAGTGTGAGAGCGGCTTTTCTTTCTCTCACTAAGTATGAGAGCTAAGCTGTTTCTTCCTCTCTCCTTCCCCTTTTTCTCTTTTTCTATCTAAATAAATCACTTTCTGCAACCACTTTTTAAGTCCGGTATTTTACTTTACGAGTACAGTGTGCTGTAGCCTCTCCCTTATTTTTGAGAGAGTGATAGACCATGAACCTGGAGAAATGCCCTCTCAGGGAAGCTAAGCGCTCCTCTGAACTTCAACAAGCTCAGGAGTCAGATACCCTGGTTCCTAGCTTGGCTTCTTCACCAGTAGCTACCTGACTGGAACATGAGACAGGTATGAGGCAGAGGTGCGTCAGCCTGCACAGCACACCCAGGACCAAGCTCTGTCAGACAACAGCCAGACCAGAGCCAGTCCTGCCAATGTCAGCAGAGCTCACTATCCAGACGTGTGAGCAACAAATGCTTATTGTTGGATGCCACTGAGGTTTTTGGATGTTTTTAACTTAGCATTATTGTCATAACAGAAAGCAGATGAACCAGGGCCAGTACTGTTCTACAAAGATCTTACAGTTTTGCTAGTCACAACCATTCTCTGCATTTCTCCCCTTGTTTTTCTCCTCAGAGCCTTCCTACATAGTGTCAGTGAAAGAATCATTGATTATGCTTTTTATAGAAATTCTCCTGGGAAGTGGTGAGGAGGCATTCTTGCTAAGGCATCATCTCTTCCCTTCATCTCCAGGGGTCATCCACCTACCTTATTGGGCAAAACTACATCAATTTCCTCCTGCAGTTTCTGCTGGACATCAGGGTGAGTGGCCAGTTCGTATATAGTGAAGGAAAGAACACTGCTGGTGGTTTCATAGCCAGCAAAAATGAAGATAATTGATTGGGCCACAAGCTCCAGATCAGACAGAGCTGAAAGGAGAGGAATGACATTTTAGATAAATCAGGTTGATGTACAACATCACAGCTTAGATGACATCTAAGTGAAGCTCTCCAATCTCAAGAGGAAAAAACAGAAAAGCAATTCAGAGTCACATTGGGGGTGGTTTTCATTCTGATGTGTACCTTACAGAGCCAGAATGAGGCAAAATCATTTTGATCCATGTTTTCCCATGGTCTACATGACTGTGGGCCATCTCCTCCTCCTCATGGCATCCCAGCACCAGCACTGCTCTGTAATTTCCAGAGAGAGCATTTCTGTCTGACATACTCGGCATTATGGGAGTGTGCCTTGAATGCTCCTAAAAGTACTTTATCTGTAAGTAAATATGGGGTAACATTTTCCCCAAGAAAAATTTGATTTTCTACAAGATAGCTTGACAAACTTTGAAAAAATTTGCAATATTTAGGACCTTTTCTCTATGTATGTTTGAAGGAACTTGAAAGACAAATATTGAGCTACAGATCACCTCTTGCTACTCAAGGTATATTTCATGGACCAGCAGCACCAGATGCATCTGGGGTCAGGGAGCTTACTAGAGATGCAGAATCTCAAACCCCACTGTTGAACTACTGAATCAAAATCCAAACTTTGAAGAGATGTGGTGATTTGTGTGCACAACCTCACTTGAGCAGCATGGATTACATGTTTGAGAGGCATCAGGCATTACAAGATCTAGGGTACAGTTCTCAAAATGGACTATCTCAGGATGTACAAAACTGCGGAGATAGACAAAAAGCCAGAAGCATGGTGATTGACTGCAGTCTGATGAATGGCATTAAAATAGCAGAAGTTCTTGTGATTACAGGTTGGCCTCCCTCTTGATATTTCTCCTGAGAGAAGGTCAAGATGGTCCATCACTAGTCTGTTTGATGAGGACTTGATTAGGACCTTTGGAGATGTGGAACACAGAAATAAATGTGGTGCCTGCTGCAACCATGTAATTCACAACCAAACACAATATTAAATGAGAATGAGAAAGTTCTACAGAGTTGTGATTTACCAGTGAGGATATCTTTATCGTACTGTGGGTAAATTCAACCATCCAATTATTTTATTCAGTTACATTGAACCCCATTATACTGAGTTGAAATTTGTTGTCTCGTGATTTCCATGTGGAACAGTGAAATGATAGACCATTTCCTTTATCATAGTAAGGTTTATTGAGATAAGTAGAACATTAATTGATAGATTATAGATAGATAGATACGTAGAAGATTAATTGATAGATTATAGATAGATAGATGATTGATAGTCAGGCAGACAGATAGAAGTAGATGTAGACATGAACATGTTTAAAGTGATAAACTGCAGTCAACCCAGTTCTGCTTTCTAGAACCAGTTGTTACATATTCGGGAATTTGTGAGATGATTGCCAAATCCTGGTAGCTTGAAATTGACCATAGTTACCATTTTGCCACTGTCTTAGTAATAATGGTTTCAGTCAAAACCATCTATGGTCGTTAAACTGGTAGGTAAAAGATTTAAGACAAGATATTTACATGGTCTCAGAGGCTTCCCCCATTAATTACTTACCCATTTCAAAGCAAAAAATAAAACTTCGCAGTAAATTAACCTGGCAAACATGCTTTCATCAAGTACTGCCAGTTGAAATCACCCTTACTGGGACGGTGTGCCTCCTGATTGGGATGTTTGATATAAATGTCCAAGTAGAGGTTCTCACTCAGTGGATCTGGAGGAGGCTGAGAACCGGCATTTGATCTCATGTAGGTGATCCACAAACCACTGACTGTCCACCAAGCATTCTAGGTTTGCTTAGGGTTATTTCAAGCCTGGAACATGGCTGTACCTGTGGGCTTCTGGAAAGTGCCTCCAGCTACCATTTACAACATATAAATGTGTGTTTTTCTGTTATGTGGCAGAAATTCTCATCTTCCTCGAATACTTCCTGCACATTTCTAGAGCAAGGACCTCCCTCTTAATGTCCCCACCAGTAGCCCCCAGAAGCACTCCTTGGTTACCTTTGTGGGATGCAGTTTCTTTTGAATTCTGGGAGTCAATCATCAGCTGAAGGAAATCTACTCGGTGCTAGAAGCCAAAAGACAAATTTCATTGACAGAATGTAACTCATGCAGCCGGAAGTAAATCCAAAGTGCAGTAGTCAACCTCCCTTCTTGACTTCTCTCCTTAAACCTCCCTATGGTTTCTTGAAGACCAGAAATCTGACAGTGTTGCCTGAGTCACCAGTGAAAAAAACATTCATCCAAATTCTTGGAAAGAAGGATGTTTTTCTCAAACCAATCTAGCTATCATGTCCAATTGCTTTTTGGTTCTTGCCCTCCCTGTTGCTCACCTTTTCTGTCTTTTGGACACAACTTCCTAGCCAAAGAGTTGCCAGTTCCATCTGTGGTCATAACTACTTACCCAGGAGGAAGTCCTGGATCTTTTATTTTTCTACCATCTTCTTCAGCAATGTCTACATAGATTAATCTCCTGACATTTTCCGAACTCATCAGTAGCTTTTTTTGGGGAAGGTTTTCAAATACTCCAACATTCTCAGACTCTATACAATCTTCATTGACACCTGAGTTACCTGGTCCTACCTCCCTGACCTGCAGACATCCTTCAGCTGGCCTCTAGGGCTCATGAAGGCAAAGCTGAGTTAGCCAGCCTTGCAATCTCAATTCTCAGAAAAGACCCCTGCTCATTCCAGGCTGTGAAGCACTCAAATTTACCACACACTACATGTCAGCAGTTGGCAGGTAGCCTGATTGGGCCTTTCATTGCAGAATAAGTAAAATAACAGGCTTGGATTTGAAATGATTCTTTACCAATCTGTGATGTGAGGAAAGCATAATGCCAGTAAAATATATTTTCAAATAGGAATCTTTATCCTTTGGCAATGTATTGAAGGGAAGTGAAGTAGTAAAGTTGTATCTCAGTGCTGTTTATGTCATGACATACTAATTGTTGTTCCTGATGTCAAATTTTAAATGCTGTCTCTCTGACTTATTCTTATCTCCTTCCCCAATCTCCTTCTCCATTTCTACCAAATGACTTCTCTTGTTCGAAACATTAAGTTCTCTTACTTTATTTTTTAAAAATAAAGATGCATACACTACTGTATGTATAAAATCTAAATTTATCAAAAACTAAACACTATCATTTAACCACCACCAGATTTTACCTTTTGTTTATCGTTGAGGCGACTTATTTTCATTCTGTTTACAGATTTCTTTAAAAAATTTATAGCATCTTTTGGAAACAGAGAGATATTTAATGCTTCAAAAACTGGGGTAAGGAATGGAAAGAGTACTGTGGGAAAAACAAAACAAAAGGAAATTATAATGAAAATGCAAAATTTATCTCGAGCAATTATAATTTTCTCTACCAGTAATAAGAGTAAGAACATTAGGTTCTCAACTGGAACCCATTCCTTTGATCATGTTTGCCCCTCTTTCATGCCAGTGACTAAGCAAGGGCAGGTCTATCCATAGAAACCACCACTACAGCAGTGAGATCAGTGGTACCTTCTGTATCTTTCGAGTGACCAAAGGAACAGAATTAAATTCCCTGCCCTCTTAGCCTTTATTTATTGGACTAGAGTTTGTGGGTTAATCAGACCATAATCTGCTTCTTAAATTAATAATGCTGTTCAGTAAATAATAGTCAAGATAGAAATAGCACAGTATATATACATCAAATTTCCATGGAATGAAACCAGAAGTCAATAAGGGAAAGAAATTTTGGAAACTCATACATTTGTGGAACTTAAACATTACAGTTTTAAGTGACCAGTGAGTCAAAGCAGAAATCTAAATGGCAAGAATAAATTGTTTTGAGATGAACAAAAAGAAAACATGATATGCCAAAACATGGGATGTAGCCAAAGAGGTGATCAGAGGGAAACTGATGGCTGTAATACCTAAATATAAAAGAATAAAATATCTCAAATTGATAATTACCATTTACATCACAAAACACTAAGAGAAGAATAGCAAACCAAATCTAAAGCCAGCAGAAGAAAGAAAATAACAAGGACTAAAGTACAAACTCATGAAATAGATAATAAAAAACAACAGAGAAAAATCAGTGATATTATTTCTATAAAGTGTCCAGAATAGCCAAATGGTTGCTTAAGGCAGTGGAGTTTATGGCAGGGTGTTGATAACGAAAAATGTATGAGGACTCTAGATTGACAAAAATGTTTTAGTTTACAATAGTGATGGTCACATGTATTTATTATTATCTTATAAACAATGGAATTGTACATTTAAGTGGATGAATTATATGATATGTGAATTATGTGTCAAGAAAGCAGTTATTTTTAAAAGGAGAGAGAAAGAAATAATAGTCTACATACTTATTGAGAGAAATAATGGATCGAGGAAATCAAATTTTAGGAACTTCTTAACACTTTCCACAAAGGGGTCTTTCGGATTGTTGAGAGAGTCGATGTTCACTCCAAATGATGTGCCAGTGATCACATCCATGCTGTAGGCCCCAAAGATGCTGAGAAGAGAAAGACATGGAAAATTAAAATCAGCACCTCTTTACCATTCTTCCAGCATACATGCAACAGGAAACCCACATGTCCAGTCAAGACAGGTAAAGAGCCACAGACTTTCAGAACTATCTGCTGGATCATCTCCCATCACACTCCTTTATAAGGTGGTTATTGGGTGCCGGTGATGCAGGTGGCCCTGCACTAGGGGTGATGGAGACACTGAGCTGAGTTAGACTCACTTCTGAGGTCGAGGAGCCCAATCATAGGAAGACAGAGACCCATTATCAGACAACTACAGTAGCATGTGTTGAGAGTGGATGATACAAGATGTGTAAGCACTGTGCTTCAACAGGACATGAGTAGAATAATTAATTCTTCCTAGTGGATTCAAGAAAGGTGATGTTGTCTGACTATAGACTCTATGCCCAGAACTGATTCCTCTTCAGGACTTTACAAAACAACAACACCCTGTTCTGAGTTCCCAGAAATACCATCCTTTATTCTCTATACTCTCTGCTATAGCTCTGGAAAACCCTGCTATCCCCAGCTCCTCTGACCTGAGGTTGCTCTGAGAACAGAATCATTTTTATAAAATGTAACAACCAAGAATGTTCTGGTTTAAAAAAATAGATCTCTCCAACATTGATTTGGGGAATCCTATAGCTGAGTGATGGTCCCAAGGACAGGCTCAAATTATACCTGTTGTTGAACAATTCAAGCATTTACCAACGTAGACAGCTAATAATAGGGTTGCCCTACACATAGGTTTCTAGCATCTTTTCTCTTTTGAGATTGGAGAGGAAGGAAGAGGTGTGAAGCTTTAATATTTCATAGTTTGCTGATACCCTGAGAAAAACCGTGAAGGGATTAAAATTGTTCCAAGTTCCCCGCTGTAACTTTCTCAGCCTACCCAATGCAAGTCAACAAGTACCAAATGCTTTCTTACTCACAGTTCCATATCCACTACACTCAAAACATTGATACGATCATGTTTTTTAAATTTCTAAAGTATATATTTAATCTCCCAGAATATTTATGGTGCCAAGTTAACAGGTAAGTAAATCTTGGCTCCTGTGCATCAGAGAGAAGGCCCTTTTTCCTGCTGACTTGCCTCCTTATGGGAGCCACTCCCTCTTAGGTGGCTCTTTGGAGTTGCGACACTGCCCTGCTTTTGTCTCATCACTGGAGTAACACAACAGTGGGAATATCAGTTCCATGGCACGCAGCTGGAGGGGCCCGTAATAGCTTAGAACCCCATGGCTATGCTCCTACTTACTCTTTCATGGTGACAGGCTTGCCTTTCTCTGCTTCCCGCCTCAGGTTTCTCACCAACACATCTCCATATTGGGCAATGATGGGGAACATCTAAGCACAAAACAGATTACTTACTACCTCTAGTTAAATATGCATACTCAAGTCCCAGAAGGACAGGGCTTTCCCCAGCATGGAGCAGTAAGTGACATTTTTATAACAAATTTTGTGATGTCTTTTCTGTACATAAAGATAAAAGACCATTTTTAGGAAGCTCAAACTCAGTGGACAACCCCGTGGAAAGGGACTGTGATCTTACTTTCTACCTGTCCCCAGATTCATTCTTTACATTTCTACTGAAAACTCATGTTATTTTCATACCTCCTTGAGTTTTCCACTGGTGAAGGTCGGAGACAGCAATGATCGTATTCTCTTCCATTCTTCATCCTGAGCTATGGAGATGGCGCTTTTCATGAGTCCTACTGGGCCAAAAGGCTAGAGTTCAAAGCAGAAACATTTTGTCTCACATTAGTTGCGGAGCTCTTTATGGTTGTACAAAATATATTGAACAGATATGACTTATTTAACCAATATTTAGTAACTGTATATGATATGGCAGGCCATATTCAAGATGCTCAATAGAGATCCTAGATGCCTAGCCTCTTCTGAGTATATGTGGGGCAGGAGTGGAAGTAAGGAGACCCAGCCATCTGATATGATCTCAAGCCTCTATATCTCAGTCTCCTTTTAAGTGCAAATGCTCCACGTGGTAGGGAACTGTTCTTCCAATGGAGTAGACAGGAACAAGACCTAGCACTTCCCCAGGAATGTGCAGAGTAGAAAAGGATTGATTACAGATAGGCAGGTGACCTTGGCAGACTGTATGTTGCCTCAGACCAGCTCTGTCTTTAATACACCATCTTTAATACATGGGCAACTTGAAAAGGGGATGCCATGATGTGGTGATTTTTTTTTCAAAAGTAGGTAATACTTTAGGAACCTGTTTTCAAGTAATAATGCAATTCCATGAAAACTGTTTTCTCTTAATTTTTTATTTCATACATAGAAGGAAAAAGAAAGAGGTAATTCTTTTTCCCAACTTGGGGCTGGCCTATCAAGCCAGCATGCTTGGAAATTTCTTTTATCTTCCACAACTATGTTTTGTTTTAAAATGTATACTTCCAGCACTCATGATAAAATCTCAATAAACTAGGAAGAGAGAGACAGCTCCTTCACTTAATAATGACAATCTATTAAAAAAAAAAATCAGCTAAATCACATTTAATGATGAAGGATTGAATGGTTTTTTCCAAGATCAGGAACCATTATTCTTACTGAGAGTTTTTCTTTGAGGATGGAAAAAAAAAAAAAGGAACAATTTTTTAAAAATGCCCACTCAGCATTCTTCCTGAAGAGCATACTGGATGTCTTAATACAATAAGAAAAAGAAATAAAAAGCATACAGATTGGAAAGAAAATAATAGAATTATCATTATTTTCAGGTGACATAATTGTCAATGTGTAAAATGTCAAGGAATATACAAAAAGATTTCTAGAACTAATAAGTGATCTCTGCAAGGCTGTGGGATACAAGATCAATACCCACAATTATTTACATTTCTACATAACTTAATATCTGAAAATATAAGAAAAACAGCATCATTTACATTTACTCCAACAAAAACAAATTATTTCAGGTGTAAATCTAACAAAAGATGTGCAGGATCTCTATGCTAAAAACTACAATATGTTGAGGAAAGAAATAAAAGCTAAAGAAGTGGAGAGGCATAGTATATTCATGGAATGAAAGACTAAACATAGTAAAGGTACAGATTATCCTTGAATTGTTCTATTGGCTTAATTCAGGCTTGTACAACTTGTGGCCTACAGGCCTCAGGCAGTCCAAGATGGCTTTGAGCATAGCCCAACACAAATTTTGAAACTTTCTGAAAACATTTTGTGATTTTTTTTTTTTTTTTGCAATTTTTCTTTTGTAATTTGACTGTGCAGTTCTCAAGTGTGAACTTTGTAGATGACAATGGAGTGGAATGGGATAATCAGAGGATGTCACAGCCACAAATAATGGAGTATTGTCTATAATTTGCATTATAATTGCAAACAGTTCGGCCAGAAGAAATGAAAAACCATTACAATTAACAAAATAAAGAGCGAGAGGACTCTATTGCAATGCCATGTAAAGTGAATTGTGACAAAGAATTCAAGTGTGTATTCTAGAGAAGGTAGAGCACTGCTGTACACCAGGCACTCTCGCCATTTGTACAAATGTGTGGATTCAGTTTTGTGGTGATGTGCGACTTCCAGTGTGTGTTATCTTCCACTCATAGACAGTTGAATTGACACCATCAGATATTAGGTGTGTTTGTGGCAACCTTGCAAGTAAAACATAGTGATTATCAATAGTATTTCAATCTATGGTTGTAAATGATAGGTGTTCAGTATTATTTAGAAGACATGTAAATATTCTTACTTGATTATTAAGCTTTGCTTTTTCTTTTCTTTTTCTTTTTTGAGATGGAGTTTCACTCTTGTTGCCCAGGCTGGAGTGCAGTGGAACAATCTTGGCTCACTGCAACCTCTGCCTCCTGAGTTCAAGCAATTATCCTGCCTCAGCCTCCCAAGTAGATGGGATTACAGGCATGCACCACCATGCCTGGCTAATGCTTTGTATTTTTAGTAGAGAAGGGGTTTCTCCATCTTGGTCAGGGTGGTCTCAAACTCCCGACCTCAGATGATCCACCTGCCTCAGACTCCCAAAGTGTTGGGATTACAGGCATGAGCCACCGTGCCTGGCCCAAATTTTCATAATAAAATTAAATATAGTTGCTTATATATATAATGTTTTTAATTCTAGCATAGCTTCCACAATGTCTTAAAAAGGAAACAGAACCCTAAAAAAAAATTATGGATGCAGGAAGATTGTTCAATGAAAAGTGGACAAATGACTTCTATTCTATTCTTTTTAAGGTAAATAGCAAAGCACTCTCCTTAATTTCTGTGGTATTTGTGCCAGTTTTCAAAGACTACAATTTGAAGAGGCAAATTGTATGCAAAAACATGCTGACAAATTTGGTACATATCAAGGAATGTGTTTCAAGCACAAAATAGCAGAACTGAAAAAAAGTCTGTCTTTTCTCTCTCTCTCTCTCTCTCTCTCTCTCTCTCTCTCTCTCTCTCTCTCTCTATATATATATATATATATATATATATATATGCATATTAGGTTCTGGGGTACACATGAAGAACATGCAGCCTTGTTGCATAGGTACATACATGGCAGTGTGGTTTGCTGCCTCCATCCCCATCACTTATATCTAGCATTTCTCCCCATGTTGTCCCTCCCCAGCTCCCTTCCCCCAGCTGTCCTTCCCCTAATCCTCCCAACCACAGACCTCGGTGTGTGATGCTCCCCTAAAAGTCTGTCTTTTCAACAACAACAAAAATTTTTTACAGTTACAACTCAAACAAATTCTATCATAAAGGCTAGTTATGTGGTAGCAAATTTAATAGCAAAAAATCAAAACCATTTACTGATGGTGAGTTTATTAAGCAATGTACAGAAGATGTGGTAGATATTATTTGTCTTGAGAAACTGATATTTCTAAAATCAGTTTGCCTCACCAGACTATACCTAGGAGAACTGAAGAAATTGGGAAATCTATTGAAAGATGTTTGGAGAGTAAATCTGCTAATTTAAAATTTTAGCTTTGGTGATGGATGAAGGCACTGACACTACAGATATGGCACAACTTGCCATTTTTATTGGAGGTATTGATGATGAATATAATGTCACTGAAGAAATAGAAATGTCACCATTTTTATTTCTATTTCTAAATGTGCCATTAAAAGACACAACTAAATCAAGAGATTTATACAAAGCAGTGAAAAATACGTTAAAGCAATTTTCTTTGTTTATTATGAACATATCTGATATAGCTATAGATGGTGCCCTGGTGACGGTGGGTAAAAGAATGGGACTTGTAAAATTAATAGAAGATGATGCAGTTGCCACACAAAACTCACCTTTGATCAAGTATTATTGCATAATAAGAAAATCCATATGCACAGGCTTTAAAAATGGATAACATCATGCAAATTATTATCAAGGCTGTGAATTTCACAAGGGCCAGGGAATTCACCATCGCTAGTTGCAGGAATTCACCATCACTAGTTGCAGGAATTCACCATCGCTAGTTGCAGGAATTCCTTAAAAGTATGGATGCTGACTCTAGCAATGTCATTCACTTTTTAGAAGTAATGTGGTTAAGTCAAGGCAAAATGTTGTGAAGATTTTATGCTTTGTGACATGAAGTCAAGCAGTTTATGATATCAAACACAAAATTTGTGCCAGAACTTGACAGTGAAAACTGGCTTACAGATTTAGCATTTTTAGTGGATTTGAAGGCCCATTTAAGTGAGTTAAACCTGTGTCTTCAAGGTGAAAATCAACTTAACAATACAGTGTCTCAAACCATAACAGCATTCCAAATGAAACTGAAATTATGGCAAGTTGAAATAAAGGCAAACAATTTTATGCATTTTGACACTTTGGCTAAACACGGTCCTGTGAACAGCAAAAAATACGCAGCCTTGCTTTTCAATTTGATACAGGAATTTGAAAACAGGAATTTCAAGATTTCTGAAAAAATAATCAATATTTTGGTATATTTGTGACTCCATTTTCCATTAACATAAATATGTTACCTGCCAATTTTCAAATGGAATGCCCAGAGCTGCAGTCTGACATTCAACCTGAAGAAAAATGTGATTGTGTTTCTTTACTGGACTTTTGTAAGACCTGTCTTCCCAATGACAAATATCCCTCGCTTCACAATCACACCTTTTTCATCTCATTGCTTTTTGGCAGCGTCTACATTTGTGAGCAACTATTTTCAAGGATGAAGCACATGAAGAGTAAAATTAGAATCAAAATATCTGATGAGCATCTTGATAACTCACCGAGAATTGCAACTACTTCCATCAAGCCAGATATTGATGCATTCGTTTCTCAAAAACAATGTCAAGTACCCCACTGGTTTTACATTGCCCTCTTTTCTTTTATAATAAAAAATACCAAAGTAGTGAAGTTTTTTAAACTTAGATATGTACATTTTCTATATCAGTGATTACAAACTTGGGACCCATTCAACGATTTTAAAAGATCCTCTGAATGGGGCAGTGCATAATTAGGATTATTATGCAAGGACATTTTTGCTTATATGTGGTGGTAGATAAAATGAAAACTATACACGGACTTTTTTTCTTTTTTAGCTTATCAGTTATCATTAGTGTTAGTGTATTTTATTTGTGTTCCAGACAATTCATCTTCCATTGTGGCCCAGGGAAGCCAAAATATTGGACACCTCTGCTTTAATTTATCAAAATTATGGCAGATTTGTTTACAGACATTTACAAGCTTATTCTGAGTTTTTATGGAAAGGCAAGGGACAAGAAAAGCTAAAACCATTTTGAAAATGTAAATAAAGTGGAAAGAATCACTCTATATGATAAGAGTTACTGTACAGCTACTAGAGTCACCACAGTGTGGTATTGGTGTAAACACACTCACCAATGGGACAGAATAAACAATAAGAAATAGATGCACAAAATATGCTCAGCTGATTTTTGACAATATGCTCACCTTCCCAAAATGCTGTTGGAATATTTGGACAGTCATAGTCCACAAAAAAAATGAACCTTGATCTAAATCTCATAACTTTTACAAATATTGACACAAAATGGATAATAGAGTTACATTTTGTAAAGTGTTAAACTATATAACTCTTAGAAAAAACAAGGTAGGAAGGAGAGTGAGGCAAAGGATTTTCAGATTTGACACCAAAGGAACAATCCATAAAAGGAAATATTAATACATTGGCCACCTCAAATAAATAAAAGTTTGCTATGAATATAGACCTGTCAGAGAAAAAGACAAACTCCGTGTTGTGACTGTAGGATAGCAGGAGGGAGCCACATGGTGACAGAATGGGTCGCATCTTGATGGTGCTGGTCACTGCACAAATCTATGAATGTCATAAATTTGCTTAGAACTACACACATACAAAAACACACACAAACAAGGGCACGTGTAACGGTGAAATCTGAATAAGCTCTGTACTCTATATTAAAGTTAATTTCCTGTACTGTATTATTAAGTTGGTGCAAAAGTTATTGCAGTTTTTAAATGGCAAACTGCAATAAATTTTGTGCCAACCTAATAATATGTGTATACTATATTTATAGTTATGCAAGATTGCAAGATGTTACCTTTGGGGGAGACAGGTTGAAGGGTACATGGAACCTTCCTGTACATTTTTTAGGTAACTTTCTGTGAATATATGAGTTTCTTTAAAATGAAAATTAATCTAACAGTCATTATTTAAATTTCAAAAAATGGATGCTTACTTACCCTCCGGTTTGTGAAGACAGAATAACATTCTTTCACTAACACTGCTTTGATCATGTCAGGATCTGTGATAGCCAGCACAGGGAGTTGACCATCATATGATCTGTGTGGGGACAACAGAGCTGATTAAACTTCACAAACCTGATTCTTCAGCTGGAGCCACACCCAGGAAGCCACACTTTGATCATGATGTTATGTAATCCATACCTCTAGTTGTACCATACACAGCAACCTTAGTTTGTAGTTCATTAGGATGTGACACACAGCAAGAGTCAGACACAGGAGCCACCCAAGTCTTCATACAATGAAGGGTAATGTGGCTCAAACAAGGAAGGGACATTGAAAGACGAAAGAGCTCTTGAAAGAGATCATGGTTAGAAATGACAGGAGAGCATTTGTTAAGCTGGGTGGTGCGTACATGGTTATTTCCTATGCCACTCTCCATAACGTTTCATATGTTTAAAATATTTCATTATCAAAAAGAATATTATTTCCATGAAAAACTGAAGGCAGGTAAATCATCAGATGCTCACAAGAGTAAATGTTGCAAGTGGCAGTTGGTGTGGGGGCCCATGGACCTCCCGAGCTGTGTGTTCTTTCTACTCAGTCGTGTTGCCTGTATGGCCCGTGCCAGCTCCACAGCACCCTGCAGCCAGCACTGCGGTTTCTGAGGACTTGGTGAGAGAAGACGAAGAAGCACAAAGAAACAAAGCCTTCTCCCACTTACTTCTAGTGAACAAACACACCACTGCCCCTTCTCCACTGCTCTCACCAAACCTCTAGCACCTCTGACAGGGAACAGCTGCTGCAACTGGCTGAGGCCACCTGATAAAATCACAGTCCGTCAGCCCCCAGTGAACACAATGGTTTAAGAATATTCAGCATCTCTTCTTCAAAGTAAGCAAAATGGTATAAACCAATAAGTACTTGTATATCCTTCTATTAAAAGGTCTTGGCTTAAATTTTAAAAGCAAGGCGGAACCAAAAATTTCATACTTGAAGAGAAAGTTTAAAAAAGTGGAACATAAATGGTTTCCCAGTCTGTTTCTCTGTTATCTCTCAACTCTTCTTTCAGAAGCACCTGTTAAATCCAATGTCTAAATGAAAGAGTTTAGGCTTTTAATTGGAAGTGAATCGATGTGGGAAGGAGATGATGCCATGCATTTATGAGCACATATTAGAAGAGTCTGAGACAATGCATGTGATAAAAGGTCACCTAAGGAAGAAAAAAAGAAAAGAGGAATAGGCAGACACTGGTCAGAAGGCAATGCTGGGAGTCCCTAAGCCAACAAAGCCTGGAGAAGAGTTGTAACCACAATGCTCCCAGCCTAGTTCAGACTGAAGACCTCGACACCTGGTGACATGGATCCTTGGTAGGACAAGCCTTGAAAATTTTACAATAGCAAGTGTGAACATGTCAGAACCAAAGTGACGTCACTATTTTTTTAAACCTGACAAATCCCAAGAAGGCTCTGAAGAGAGGATTCTCACCTTTGTGTTCCTAGTAACAAAACGATCACAAGACTCTACTAAAAACACAACTTTGCACAAAGGCCATTTCAATTTTTACACAAAAATATTTCTGCAAGGACACCTGCCCAGCAACTGCCTGTTCAACCTTGGTGTGGCACTACCTTTGTTATTGATCTTTGCAACTAACAGTAATTATCTCAAAACATTTATGAAATCCTCCTCATATAGAGCATCTTTGTCTTGCTTTACCTCCCTGAATTTGCAAATGCACGCAGAGTCCCATTGCAATACTCTAAATAATTATCGTCTTCTTTCAGAGAACCTCTCTCTGTTTGTATTTAGGTTGACAAGAGCTTCATCACATGAAGCCCTGGACAGAGACTATCCTCTGTGCAGTGGGGTAACCTCATCACAGAAGCAGATCTATCCAATGGAGGTTTCCAGAGTACTCACCCCCACATTTTCCCATACTTTTTATGACATTCTGAGTCAAATTTCCAGATACCCTGTGAGGAGAAACAAAATACAATTTGATTATTATTTTAAGTAGAATGAACCCTACCTCTAACTGGGACTGAAAACAGTTGCATCCAATGAAATCAGGCCTGCTGTCTTTCACTGGCAGTTAGAGGAAGCTTATTCAGAGACATTTGAAGGGAAAGGCAAGAAAACAGAGGATATATTTGAAATGGGGAATATAAAGTCACTCTTGAATTTTCTCCAAGTGCTGAAGGACTCACCCTTGTCTATGACTAGTAAGTAACTCTGTCTTTCTGATGTATTTTTGTTTTTTGTTTTTTATTCTCTCTAAAGTCTCCTAACCTCCTGCATGATCACCTGCAATGGCAGGGGCCAAATTGAGGCTGAGGAAAAGTGAGTTTCTGCAGGGAATGCATAATATTTTATCTCTTCCATCGGTATCCTTTTCATTTATCTCATGTGCTCTCTCTAGAATTCTAGCAGAATTAGAAAGTTAAAAGAAACCAGGGACGTCTTTTAGTCTTGCAGATTTAGATAAGTCTAAGACATGTTGTTGAGTGATAAAGTGAGTGAGTGACTGAGTGTGTCATCGAATGAGCAAGTGAAAAAGTGGACTACCTTTTTTTATTATTATACTATAAGTTCTGGGGTACATGTTCAGAATGTGCAGGTTTGTTACCTAGATATACACGTGCCATGGTGGTTTGCTGCATCTGTCCCCCTGTTATCTAAATTAGGTATTTCTCCTAACGTTATCCCTCCCAGTCCCTTCACCCTCAGCTATCCCTCCCCTAGGCCCAACCCACCAACCGGCCCCACTGTGTGATGTTCTCCTCCCTGTGTCCATGTGTTCTCATTGTTCAACACCCACTTATGAGTGAGAACATGCAGTATTTGGTTTTCTGTTCTTGTGTTAGTTTACTGAGAATCATGGTTTCCAGCTTCATCCATGTCCTTGCAAGAGACATCACCTCATCCTTTTTTATGGCTGCATGGTATTCCATGGTATATATATGCCACATTTTCTTTATCCAGTCTATATACTGATGGGCAATTGGGGTGGTTCCAAGTCTTTACTATTGTAAACAGTGCCTCAATAAACATACATGTACATGTATCTTTATAATAGCATGATTTATAATCGTTTGGGTATATGCCCAGTAACGGGATTGCTGGATCAAATGGTATTTCTAGTTCTAGATCCTTGAGGAGTCGCCACACTGTCTTCCACAATTGTTGAACTAATTTACACTCCAAACCACAGTGTAAAAAGTGTTCCTGTTTCCCCACATTCTCCCCAGCATCTGTCTCCTGATTTTTTAATGATTGCCATTCTAACTGGTGTGAGATGGTATCTCAACGTGGTTTTGATTTGCATTTCTCTAATGACCAGTGAAGATGAGCTTTTTCATATGTTTGTTGACTACATAAATGTCTTCTTTTCAGAAGTGGCTGTTCATATCCTTTGCCCACTTTTTGATGAGGTTTTGATTTTTCTCTTTTAAGTTTGTTTGTTATTTATAGATTCTGGATATTAGCACTTTGTCAGATGGGTAGATTGCAAAAATTTTTTCCATTCTGTTGGTTGCTGGTTCACCCTAATGATAGTTTCTTTTGCTGTGCAGAAGCTCTTAAGTTTCATTAGATCCCATTTGTGTATTTTGGCTTTTGTTGCCATTGCTTTCGGTGTTTTAGCCATGAAGTCCTTGCCTATGCCTATGTCCTGAATGGTATTGCCTTGGTTTTCTTCTAGAGTTTTTGTGGTATTAGGTTTTATGTTTAAATCAATTTTTGTATAAAGTGTAAGGAAGGGATCCAGTTTTAGCTTTCTGCATATGGCCAGCCAGTTTTCCCAACACCAGTTATTAAACAGGGAATCCTTTCCCCATTGCTTGCTTCTGTAAGGTTTTTCAAAGATCAGATGGTTGTAGATGTGTAGTGTTATTTCTGAGGCCTCAGTCCTGTTCCATTGCTCTATATCTCTATTTTGGTACCAGTACCATGCTGTTTTGATTACTGTAGCCTTGTAGTATAGTTTGAAGTCAGGTAGTGTAATGCCTCCAGCTTTGTTTCTTTTGTTTTCTTTTTTTTTCCTTAGGATTGTCTTGGCTATGGGGGCTCTTTTTTGGTTCCAAATGAAGTTTACAGTGGTTTTTCCAATTCTGTGAAGAAAGTCAATGGTAGCTTGTTGGGGATCACACTGAATCTATAAATTACTTGGGCAGTATGGCCATTTTCATGATGATACTGATTCTTCCTAACCATGAGCATGGAATGTTTTTCCATTTGTTTGTGTCCTCTCTTATTTCCTTGAGCAGTAGTTTATAGTTCTCCTTGAAGAGGTCCTTCACATCCCTTGTTAGTTGTATTCCTATGTATTTTATTCTCTTTGTAGCTATTGTGAATGGGAGTTCACTCATGATTTGGCTCTTTGTCTGTTATTGGTGTATAGGAATGCTTGTGATTTTTGCACATTGATTTTGTCTCCTGAATCTTTGCTGAAGTTGCTTAGACTTAGCTTAAGGAGATTTATTGCTGAGATGATGGGGTCTTCCAAATATACAATCATGCCATCTGCAAATAGATACTATTTGACTTTCTCTTTTCCTAATTGAATACCCCTCATTTCTTTCTTTTGCCTGATTGCCCTGGCCAGAACTTCCAATACTATATTGAATAGGAGTAGTGAGAGAGGGCATCCTTGTCTTGTGCTGGTTTTAAAAGGGAATGCTTCCAGGTTTTGCCCATTCAGTATGATATTGGCTGTATGTTTGTGATAAATAACTCTTATTATTTTGAGATACTTTTCATTGATACCTAGTTTATTGAGTGTTTTTAGCATAAAGGGCTGTTAAATTTTGTCAAAGGCCTTCTTTGCGTCTATATAGATAATCATAGATGGTTCTGTTTATGTGATGGATTACATTTATAGATTTGTGTGCGTTGAGCCAGCCTTTCATCCTGGGGATGAAGTTGACTTGATTGTGATGGATAAGCTTCTTGATATGCTGTTGGATTCATTTTGCCAGTATTTTATTGAGGATTTTCGTATCAATGTCCATTATGGATATTGGCCTGAAATTTTTTTTTTTTAGTTGTGTCTCTGCCAGGTTTTGTTATCAGGATGATGTTGGTCTTATAAAATGAGTTAGAGAGGATTCTCTCTTTTTGTATTGTTTGGATTAGTTTCAGAAAGAATGGTACCAGCTCCTCCTTGTACCTCTGATAGAATTCTGCTGTGAACCCGTCTGGTCTTGGACTTTTTAGTTGGTAGGCTATTAATTGCTGTCTCAATTTGAGATCTTCTTATTGGTCTATTTAGGGATTCAGTTTCTCCCTGGTTTAGTCTTGGGAGGGTGTAAGTATCCAGGAATTTATCCATTTCTTCTAGGTTTGCTGGTTTATGTGCATAGAGATATTTGTAGTAATCTCTGATGGTAGTTTGTATTTCTGTGGGATAGGTGGTGATATCCCCTTTATCATTTTTTATTGTATCTTTTTGATTATTTTCTCTTTTCTTTTTTATTAGTCTGGTTAGTGTTCTATCTGTTTTGTTGATCTTTTCATAAAGCAGCTCCTGAATTCATTGATGTTTTTGAAGGGTTTTTTGTGTCTGTATCTCCTTCAGTTCTGCTCTGATCTTAGTTATTTCTTGTCGTCTGCTAGCTTTTGAATTTGTTTGCTCTTGCTCCTCTAGTTCTTTTAATGATGACATTAGAGTATCGATTTTAGATCTTTCCTCACTTCTCATGTGGGCACTTCGTGCTATAAATTTTCCTCTACACACTGCTTTAAATGTGTCCCAGACATTCTGATACCTTGTGTCTTCATTCTCATTGGTTTCAAAGAACATCTTCATTTCTCCATTCATCTCATTACTTATCCAGTAGTCATTTAGGAGCAGGTTGTTCAGTTTCCATGTAGTTGTGTGGTTTTGAGTGAATTTCTCAATCCAGAGTTCTAATTTAGTTGCTTGGTGGTTTGAGAAACTGTTTGTTATGGTTTCCATTAATTTGCATTTGCTGAGGAGTGATTTACGTCCAATTATGTGGTCAATTTTAGGGTAAGTGTGATGTATGGAGAAGAATGTATATTCTGTGGATGTTGGGTGGAGAGTTCTGTAGATGTGTATTAGGTTCACTTGGTCCAGAACTGAGTTTATTTAAGTCCTGGATATCCTTGTTAATTTTCTGTCTCATTGATCTGTCTAATATTGACAGTGGAGTGTTAAAGTCTCCCAGTATTATTGTGTGGGAGTCTAAGTCTCTTTGTAGGTCATTAAGAACTTACTTTACGTATCTGGGTGTCTTGCATTGGGTGTATATATATTTAGAATAGTAAGCTGTTCTTGTTGCATTGATCGCTTTACCATTATGTAATGCCCTTCTTTGTCTCTTTTGACCTTTGTTGGTTTAAAGTCTGTTTATTAGGGACTAGGATTGTAACCCCTGCTTTTTTTGCTCTCCTTTTGCTTGGTAAATCCATCCCTTTATTTTGAGCCCATGTGTGTCTTTGCATGTGAGATAGTTCTCCTGAATACAGCACAACAAGGAGTCTTGACTCTTTATCCAGTTTGCCAGTCTGTGTCTTTTGATTGGGACATTTTGCCTATTTACATTTAAGGTTAATATTGTTATGTGTTAATTTGTTCCTGCCATCTTGATGCTAGCTGGTTGTTTTGCCCATTAGTTGATGCAGTTTCTTCATAGTGTTGATGATCTTTACAATTTGTTGTGTTTTTGTAGTAGCTGGTACTGGTTGTTCCTTTCCAGGTTTAGTGCTTCCTTCAGGGGCTCTTGTAAAGGAGGCCTGGATTTCCTTTCCAGTTTTCTAGCTTAACACAGAAAAACTGGAGAAATGCTGCCTCTTCACATCACACCCAGAAAATTACAGTGCATGCTCTGAGTTTTCATTTCTGAAATTTAAAAGCAAACCTTCCTCTTGCTAAGATTCAGCAGTGATGTTTTAACTATGTAAAATAAGGTTCCAGAAATATTATTCTACTACAACATTTTCCAGATCAGTTGATCTGGAAAAGATGAAGAAGGAATTACTGCTTTTATTAAGGGTAAAATTGTGTAGAATTCTCAAACAGTAATCAGAAAACAGAGGCCTCAGTTGTGAGAATTAGAATCTGAGAAACAAGCTTCAGGTACACAGGATAGGAAATCTGAGCCAGAGAGCAGGTTGCTGTTGCTGGCCTTCTGGACATGAGCTGTGACTTTTCCTCCAGGAGCCAGACCCTGGGCAAAGCTTCAGACCAGGGTAGCCACAAAGGCTTGGCCACAGTTCACAGTCTATGTGGCACATATGACATTCTGTTCAGTAAAATTAAATATTTAATAATTTTGACAAATTATTGCCTTTCTAATGATTTTTCCTAAGTGGCCACTTCTTTGTGTAAACACACACACACACACACACACACACACACACACACAATTGATTTTGTACTTAAGTATCTAAGGTTGATAGACAACCACCATCTCATCTCAGTTAACATCCACTGCCTGCTCAGACTCGCCCATAGGGTGCAGCCTTTCAAGGAAAAGAAGTCAAGCAGAACACTCTTGTTCTTTCTCTCAAATATGCAAAAGATGTTACAACAGCTGGGGTAGAGCCTTGGAAATATGCCTAGAGAATTTAGCAGTTCTTGAGAAAATTCGAGTAGGTGCAAATTTCCTGATGGTGAATACTTAAGTTGCCTAATAGAATAAAGTTTCAAAACTGTCCAGGAGGAAGAGGGGGGAAAAGGCTCTTGCTACAAAGAGACAAGTTTGAATCTGGTACACACAGATAATGAGCCACTGCCAGGGCCCCCTTCCTGCTTTTCTCTTAATACTAACTAAGTATGACTATACCTTCCTGAGAATCTACATGGAACAAAAAGTAAATACTTTTTATGGTGCCACAGAATCTGCACATCAAGTCTTGAACATCAAGCGCTGATCTACTTGAGATCAGGGCTGTTCAACTGAGGGAAACCCGAGGCTCCTGAGAATTAGCAAGAAAGCCCTGGGGTAAACCTGGCCATGCTCTGGGTGGAGCCTACACACCATTTCTTTTGTTCTTTCTTCTCTTTTCTTTCTTTTGTTCTTCTTTCTTTCTTCCTTTCCTTCTTTCTTTCTCTTTCTTTCTCTTTCTTCTTTCTTTCTCTCTCCTTCCTTCCTTCTTTCTTCTTTCTCTTTCTTTCTTTTCTTTTTGTTTCTTTCTTTTTTTGAAACAATCTTGCTCTGTTGACCAAGATGGAGTGCAGTGGCATGATCAATGCAGCCTTGACTTCCTGGGTTCAGGCAATTCTCCCACCTCAGCATTCAGAGTAGCTGGGACTGCAGGCTTGGGCTACTATATCATGCCCAGGTAATGTTTTCTTTTTAGAGATGGTGATCTCACTGTGTTGCCCATGCTGGTCTCAAAATTCCTGGACTCAAGTCATTTCCAGTCTTGACCTCACAAATTGCTGAGATTACAGGCATGACCCACCATGCCCAGTCCCACCATTTCTAAATATGTGAAGCCTCAGAACTGCCTCCCAAGGAGGGGCATTTTTACTGATGGAACTAAGCTGATGTTTGCAACCATAAGAAGCAAAAGAGGAAGCTCAAACGACTCACCTGACGATAGGACAAAATATTTCCAAGAAAAGGCAGAGGTGTGGGTCCTGGAATTCCCAGTTTCTTAAAAATTCCATGTGAACGGGTCCCGTATCTATGAAGTGAAACAGCAATCAGGTCATAGGGGTTGTGACTATAGATTGGAGGGCTGATCAGTTTCTGACTGAGGAACTTGGATGGTCAAGAGAGGGAGTTAATATGTACATGATAAATAATAACAGCAACTCCAATGTCAGTAATTGCATTCACTCATCATATCCTTCCCTGACTCTGAGATCCCCCAAACTCTCAATGATTCACTGAAAGCAGCTGAAGTCTTCATGATCCCAATCCTGGAGTGAATACTTGATAAATGCCCTCACACGTGAGTGCTCCTGAGAGGTTCAAGTGGGAATTCTTCCAGGGTACTTCATTCACTTGTGTCTATTTAATAAGTGCACTCTTCCCTGATTTGGGGTTCTCATCTGAGGTAGTGGGTAACAATTTTTTGTCTTCTGCACTGATGATGAGATTTTGCATCACTGCATCCACTCAGTGACAGAGGGCCACCAAAAGCCTATGGTGACACTGCCCTTATAATTTGCTCGGAGACTTTTATACTTTTTCTTTCCTCTAAGCTCTGACCCTCTTTTAGGATCTGGCCCTTCTTAAAGCTTGATTCACAGAGAGGCCTTGGAGGAGTCACGCAGTCCTTGTTTTACAGATTGACAACTGTGTTCATGGCTTCTATCGGCCTTATGGAAATGTGGGCACTTTTCAGCTACACCTCAGTGTCTGTGGTCAGATGATCTGGTTGATTTGAGTTACTTAAGGGGGATGGATGACCCATATATCCTTGAATGATGGTGTGCAGAAGAACCAACAACTAATACTTCTCAGGCAATACTCACCTGAGAAGCACAGTACCAGGCACACTCATCTTTTTCAAGGTGGTCAGTCAGACAGCAGTCAGTTCACTGCCTCTGCACAGGAACTATCTCTGAGGAGAAACCCATAAAGCCTGGCATTCGCTATGGCAGGCCTGCCTGCAACTCATCTTTCATGAATCATGTGCAAACTCTTCCAACTGAGGGTTCTGGATCCTTGTAGACCTGCCCCCTCTGTTGTGATTGAGGAGTGGAAAACTGGAGGAAGAAGAGAGGCTGAAGGAAGAGGCTGCCAGACTCTGATTGAGCTGTGAAGCTTCTAGTCCCATAAGGTTGGCTCCAGAGAGGCAAACTACAGAAATGTGGCTGACAAAGATGATGTGCATAAAAGAATCCACATGCCTCATATGTGCTTTCAGCTAAAAGACAGAGAGGGGCCTTCTAAAGTCCAGGTACCTTCCTGTTGATAGCAAAAGATGCAGTATGGCATATAAGTAAAGATAAAATGTCCCAGAGAGTTGTATTAAGACCTTGTTTACTCTTCTTTAGAGTTCAGCCTTTAAGGCCGTATAGGTTCCAAACATTGTGTAAAAATCCAGTGACTCATACTATGTAGTAAAACAGAATTGAGAAATTACATGAAGGGCGGGGCTTTGAGGACCCAGCAGGGACAGTTTGAGCAGGCCCAGTCACACATGTGGTCCCTGCCCCAGGATAGTTAGTGGAAGTGCACCGCCTGCCAACACCAGCGTGGCCTTGGGTTTTCCACTTCCGTTCCCTCCTTTGTTGTCACAGCCATGGCAAATCAACGATACTAATCTCTGCTCCTGAACTTTAAACAAGTTACCTGACCTCTCAGGTGAGGACAAGCTGTTGAGTTAATGTGTCAGCAGCATTGGCCCTGAGGAAAGTTCTTGGTGAGTGTCTAGATTCACATGGTACCATGTCAAGGCAGAGGGTGAGCTGGGCGAAGTCTTTAGTTTTTTTCCAGCTGTCCTCTGTTTGGTAGAGTAATGCTGCTTTTGGTTCCAATGAAGAGGCTAACAGAAAAGCCAGTCATCTGTTGTACATAATCGTGTTGGCCTAAGGGGGACATGGTCTACACTACAGTTTCTGAGTCCTGGGCTGCATCAGCATTGTCTAAGGCTAAGGTAGTGCCTGCCCGGCTGCCCAAATCTGTAGTGACAGCCCCACAACATGGCAGACTACACACAGAGTGACACAGATGGTGCCCCATGTCCAGGCTTGAAGCAGATGAGATGCCAACCTGTTTGCCCTTTGAGTGACCTCCACTGTGGGGCCAGGACCCATGAATATCTCTTTGGAGTTGTACCCTGAGAGCTGAGGAATATTTTCTCACTTCATACTGATCCTACCTGGATGCTTTTGCTATTATCAGTGGCTCACAGTCTTGCTTGCTTCCCTGCCCTGAGAGTGTAAGATTACCTGCTAAGCAGGTGTATTCAAAAAGGAGGTATTAAGCTGTCAGGCAGGTGTATTTAAAAAGACATATGCATTCTTATCTTAGAGATATGCATTTGTGCATTAGACTCATATTCCTGACATTAGTCTGGAAAAGTGAGATAATTTTACCCACATTTATTTTCACAAATACTGAACTAACAGCCCTCTTATCATCCAGAAGGAACTTGCTGGAAATAGTCTATCTCCAAAAATTTCTGGTTTAAAAATGAATGAATTTAAACCATATCAATTCATTTAAAAATGTTAGAAAATGGAAACCATGTTGCCACAACTCATTGAATTCCTAAGTTTTCTGTGAAAGAGAGAAAATGAGGTTTATATTTTCTATTTTCATGTCATTGTGGTTCTCTCTTCTCTTAATAAAAGGCAACTTGAGGTAGAAGTCAGATGTGATGGGTCGAGCCTCCACTGCCCACAGTAGAAAGTAACTCTTCTCTCTACCTGCTCTAGGATTCCAGGAATCCCACCACCGAGAGGGTTCATCCTCCTGTACTGTGACATAAAGGGGAAAAAATGTGTAAAATCCCAATTGGCTTTCACAGCTCCTTTTTGGGCTGCTAGCAGATTCCCATTAAGTGAGAAACAAAGCTCTATATTAATTCTAGCCTCTGAGAGACTGGAGGAAAAAGATTAAAGCAAAGAATAAAACTTCAAAACTTTCTCGAAGTCTCCTTTGCTCTAGAGATTAATCATTTCAAGATAAATAGTTCTGTGTATGACAGGGTGGAGGATTGAGTCATAGAAGAGAGCAGATTTTCTAGGGTGTGGCATAGTAAAGAGGGAAGAACCAAGGGACAGCTTCCCGTAAGTTTTGGTGTTCCCTGGTGCCTTACGTAAATGATATCCTGGGGGGAAGGCAGGGGAGCAGGAACCACCAGGTCCAAGGGGACAATAGTTCTACACATCTCTCCCAGCAGACATAGAACCCAGAAAATGAAGATAATGAGACAAAAACCCAAGCTACTCCCTCCCGTTCCCAGAATCCCCAGAGCCTGGGAAGGGGATGAGGGTCACACTGGCTGTCATGTTCAGTAGTTTGTAATCAGCCTCTGCCGTGTTTTCATTGATCAGTTCAAATATAAGCTAATCAGATCATTCTCACCACCAAATGCTGTCCCTAAACTCTCCTAGTCACCAAAATTAGAAGGTGGATGAAAGAAATGCTTATTTATTCCTTCATAGAGCTGCGTAAGATCAATAATAGCTTCTGTGTGTTTGTAGCGTTCAACACTTAAGCTACGTCTCCTTGAACATCTGTTTTTATCTTCAAAGCAGATAAGGGAAAAGGGGCCTGATTAGCACCCCAATTCCAAGGAAACAGAGGAGCCTGGATAGTTACTCACAGATAGAGAAGCACCAGGCTGAGAGCCAGGAGAAGCCAGGTTTCCACTGCCAAATTTGGGATGAGGTCCATCACCACTTTTCTTCCTCGACTGTATCCTCTGAGTTTTCCTTTCAGTAGTGTGCTGCTGTTTGCTGGGCTGTGTGTCTGGCCCTTCCCTGCCCTGCACAGCAGTCATTCAGCCAGGCTGCTGAAATGTTTATGTGCTGGTGAAGGAGGCGGGGTTGCAGCTGTAACCAGTAGCAAAAGATTGCACACACCCCTTTGCTGACCTCCTGTGAGTTCACATTCTATGAGGAATCATAAACAACTTAATCAGTGTTATTGGAGAGTCCAAAGGTTCTAGGTTTTTATCAGAAACTCAAGTGGAGCCATTGGCATGAAATCTGTTAGATCTCCTTTCACTTGCCCTTGTCTCCATGGCTGTCCTCATTCCAGAATACTTGAAATCCATCCCAACAAGACATACCTACAGATGTGTACCCATGCAATAACCTCTGCCTGGATGTGTACCTGTGCCCCTTAGATGACTTCTATGCATCCTTCCAAGGCCAACCAGATATACCCCTTCTGTTAAAGTATTTCCTTACCAACCTCCTCATACAGATGTGACCATTTCCTCCTCTGGGTACCTCCTGTGCCCCTCACACAGTCCTATGGTCCCTCTTTCCTCTCTGCCATTATTATGGGTTTCTGTGTCTGTTTCCCTTAGCAGAGGTTAGCTCCTCAAGGGCACAGTGTGTTATTTATTGTCATGACCCTGGTCCTTAGCAGAGTACTGTACACACAGTGGGTGGCCAGAAAGGTTGGTGGAGTTGCCTTGGGTGAGATTGCTGGGCCCCTGGGTGTCATCCCCTCTGACTCTGTGGTGATAGCAATAGACTAGTAATTGCTTGGGACTCAAATACAGTCAGCACTGCAGTCCCAACTAATGCAATTGGTCTTGTTCTGCAAAGGAAAATAATAGAAGGCATGTTCTGCCACTTACTTTCTCAGAAGGTAACTTAACATGAAGAGACTTACCTGTTGAGAGTTGTACTGATATGTCAAGCAAGATATTATGTATCAGAAGAACACTCAACCACTGTGTGCCTCTCATCTATTCATTCCTGTATTAAAGCATTCATCATGTATTTTAAAAGCTGTGCTCCTAGTACTTAGGGTACAAAATTTACTAATGCCTAGACATTAGCTCAATTGGTTTGATCTGTAGGTCTCACAAGTAAGTGAGAGCATGCAATGTCTGTCTTTCTGTACCTGCCTGATTTCAACTTAACATAATGACCTCCAGATCCATCCATGTTGTTACAAATAACAGGACCTCATGCCTTTTTCATGGCTGAATTGCCCTCTATTGTGGAGTACTTTCTTATTCTTCCATCTGTTGATGGACACTTAGGTTGCTTCCAAGTCTTGGCATTTGGGAATAATGGCTATTGTGAACATGGGAGTGAAGATGTCTCTTCAATATACTGATTTCCTTTCTTCCAGGTATATACCCAGCACTGGAATTTCTGGATCTTAGAGTATCTCTATTTTTAATTTTTTGAGGAAACGCCAAACTGTTCTCTATAATGGTTGTAGTAATTTACACCAACAGTGTGCAAGGGTTCCCTTTTCTCCACATTCTCACTGGCAATTGTTATTGCCTGTCTTTTGGATAAAAACCATTTTGGCTGGGGTGAGATGATGTCTCATTGTAGTTCTGATTTGCATTTCTCTGATGGTCAGTGATGTTAAGCACCTTTTCATATGCCTATTTGGCAATTGTATGTCTTCTTTTGAGAAGTGTCAAAGAAATCTTTGCCCATTTTTTGATTGGATTATTAGACTTTTTCCTACAGAGTTGTTTGAGCTCTCTATATATTCTGGCTATTAATCTGTCGTCAGAGTGTTAGTTTGAAAATATTTTCTCCCATTCTTCGTTTTGTTGATTTGCTTTCATCATGGCGCAAAAGCTTGTTAACTTGATGTGATTCCATTTGTCCATTTTTGCTTTGGTTGCCTGTGCTTGTGGGGTCTTACTTTAGAAATTTTTGCCCAGATCAGTGTCCTGAAAAGTTTCCATAATGTTTTCTTGTGGCAATTTCATCATTTAGGTCAAATTTCAGTCTTTTTTTAATGTTTCTATTTTTATTTTCCTTTTTAAAAATTGTACTTTAAGTTCTGGGGTACATGCATATTTGTTGTGTAGGTATACATATGCCATGGTGGTTGGCTGCGTTCATCACCCCGTCATCCACATTAGTTATTGCTCCTAATACTATCCCTTCCCTAGCCCCCCACCCCTTGACAGGCCCCGGTGTGTAATATTCCCCTTCCTGTGTGTATGTGTTCTTATTGTTCAGCCCCCACTTATGAGTGAGAACATGTGGTGTTTGGTTTTCTGTTCTTATGTTAGTTTGCTGAGAATGATAGTTTCCAGCTTCATCCATGTCCCTGCAAAGGACATGAACTCATCCTTTTTATGGCTGCATAGTATTCCATGGTATAAATGTGCCACTTTTTAAAAATCCAGTCTATCATTGATGGGCATTTCGGGTGGTTCCAAGTCTTTGCTATTGTGAATAGTGTTGCAATAAACATACTTGTGCATGTGTCTTTATAATGGAATGGATTATAATACTTTGGGTATATATATATATACCCAGTAATGGGATTGCTGGATCAAATGGTATTTCTGGTTCTAGAACCTTGAGGAATTACCACACTGTCTTCTACAATGGTTGAACTAATTTATACTCCCATCAACAGTGTAAAAGCGTTCCTATTTCTCCACATCCTCTCCAGTATCTGTTTTATCCTCACTTTTTAGTGATCACCATTCTAACTGGCATGAGATGGTCTCTCAATGTGGTTTTGATATGCATTTCTCTAATGATCAGTGATGATGAGCATTTTTTCATGTCTTTTTTGGCTACATAAATGTCTTCTTTATTTTTTTTTTTTGAGACAGAGTTTCGCTCTTGTTACCCAGGCTGGAGTGCAATGGTGTGATCTCGGCTCACTGCAACCTCTGCCTCCTGGGTTCAGGCAATTCTCCTGTCTCAGTCTCCTGAGTAGCTGGGATTACAGGCACACACCACCATACCCAGCTAATTTTTTGTATTTTTAGTGGAGACGGGGTTTCACCATGTTGACCAGGATGGTCTCGATCTCTTGCCCTCGTAATCCACCCGCCTTGGCCTCCCAAAGTGCTGGGATTACAGGCTTGAGCCACCGCGCCCGGCCCATAAATGTCTTCTTTTGAGAAGGGTCAGTTCATGTCCTTTGCCCACTTCTTGATGGGGTTTTTTCCTGTAAATTTTTAAAAGTTCTTTGTAGATTCTGGATATTAGCCCTGTGTCAGATGGGTAGACTGCAAACATTTTCTCCCATTCTATAGGTTGCCTGTTCACTGTGATGACAGGTTCTTTTGCTGTGCAGAAGCTCTTTAGTTTAATTAGATCCCATTTGTCAATTTTGGCTTTTGTTGCCATTGCTTTTGGTGTTTTAGTCATGAAGTCTTTGCCCATGCCTTTGTCCTGAATGCTATCGCATAGGTTTTCTTCTAGGGTTTTCATGGTTTTAGGTCTTAAATTTAAATCTTTAATACATCTTGAGTTAATTTTTGTATAAGGTGTAAGGAAGGGATCCAGTTTCAGCTTTCTGCATATGGCTAGCCAGTTTTCCCAACACCGTTTATTAAACAGGGAATTCTTTCCCCCTTGCTTGTTTTTGTCAGTTTTGTCAAAGATAAGATGTTTATAGATGTGTGGCATTATTTCTGAGGCCTCTGTTTTGTTCCATTGGTCTATATATCTGTTTTGGTACCAGTACTCTGCTTTTTTGATTACTGGAGCCTTGTTTTATAGTTTGAAGTCAGGTAGCATGATGCTGCCCGCTTTGTTTTTTGCTTAGAATGGTTTTGGCTCCCCGGGCGCGGTGGCTCAAGCCTGTAATCCCAGCACTTTGGGAGGCCGAGGTGGGTGGATCACGAGGTCAAGAGATCAAGACCATCCTGGTCAACATGGTGAAACCCCGTCTCTACTAAAAATACAAAAAAAAAAATTAGCTGGGCATGGTGGTGCGTGCCCGTAATCCCAGCTACTCAGGAGGCTGAGGCAGGAGAATTGCCTGAACCCAGGAGGCGGAGGTTGCAGTGAGCCGAGATCACGCCATTGCACTCCAGCCTGGGTAACAACAGTGAAACTCTGTCTCAAAAAAAAAAAAAAAAAAAAAAAAAAAGAATGGTTTTGGCTCTGCAGGCTCTATTTTCGTTCCATATAAAATTTAAGGTGTTTTTTTTTTTTTTTTTTTTCCAATTCTATAAAGAAAGTCAGTGTTAGCTTGATGGGGATCACATTGAATTTATAGATTACTTTGGGCAATATGGCCATTTTCACAGTATTGATTCTTCCTAACCATAGCATGGAATGTTTTTCCATCTGTTTATGTTCTTATTTCCTTTAGCAGTGGTTTGTAGTTTTCCTTGAAGAGGTACTTCACATCCTTATATTCCTAGATGTTTAGTTCTCTTCATAGCAGTTGTGAATGGGAGTTGATTCATGATTTGACTGTTGGTTTGTCTGTTATTGGTGTATTGGAATACTTGTGATTTTTGCACATTGATTTTGTCTCCCGAGTCTTTGCTGAAGTTGCTTATCAGCTTAAGGAGATTTTGGGCTGAGATGATGGGGTCTTCTAAATATACAATCACGCCATCTGCAAATAGAGACAATTTGACTTCCTCTTTACCTATTTGAATGCCTTTATTTCTTTCTCTGGTCTTCTTTTTTAGTTTTGTCTTTACCAGGTTTTGGTATTAGGATGATGTTGACCTCATAAAATGAGTTAGGGAGGATTCTCTATTTTTGTATTGTTTGGAATAGTTTCAGAAGGGATGGTACTAGCTCCTCTTTGTACCTCTGGTAGAATTTGGCTGTGAACTCATCTGGTCCTGGACTTTGGTTGGTAGGCTATTAATGGCTATCTCAATTTCAGACCTTATTATTGGTCAATTCAGGGATTCAGCTTCTTCCTGGTTTAGTCTTGGGAAGGTGTAAGTGTCCAGGAATTTATCCATTTCTTCTAGATTTTTGGTTTTATTTGCATAGAGATGTTTATAGTATTCTCTGATGATGGTTTACATTTCTATGGGATCAGTAGTGATATTACCTTTATCATTTTTTTTATTGCATCTATTTGATTCTTCTCTCTTTTCTTCTTTAGTAGTCTGGCTAGTGGTCAATCTATTTCGTTGATCTTTTCAGAAAACCAGCACTGAATTCATTGATTTTTTGAATAGTTTTTTTGTGTCTCTGTCTCCTTCAGTTCTGCTCTGATCTTAGTTATTTCTTGTCTTTTGCTGGCTTTTGAATTTGTTTTTGCTTCTCTAGTTCATTTAATTGTGACATTAAGGTATCGATTTTAGATCTTTCCTGCTTTCTCTTGTGGATATTTAGTGCTATTAATTTCACTCTACACACTGCTCTAAATGTGTCCCAGAGATTCTGGGACATTGTATCTTCGTTCTCATTTGTTTCAAAGAACATGTTTAATTGTGCCTTCATTTTTTTATGTATCCAGCAGTCATTCAGGAGCAGGTTGTTCAGTTTCCATGTAGTTGCATGGTTTTGAGTGAGTTTTTTGTTTGTTTCTTTGTTTTTTGATACGGAGTCTTGCTCTGTCGCTAGGTTGGAGTTTAGTGACACAATCTCAGCTCACTGCAACCTCTGCCTCCCAGGTTCAAGCCATTCCCCTGCCTCAGCCTCCTGAGTAGCTTGGACTACAGGCATGTACCACCATGCCTGGCTAGTTTTTTCATAGTTTAGTAGAGATGGGGTTTCACCATGTTGACCAGGATGGCCTTGATCTCCTGACCTCTTGATCCACCCACCTCAGTCTCCCAAAGAGCTGGGATTACAGGCATGAGCCACTGCACCCTTGAGTGAGTTTCTTAATCCTGAGTTCTAATTTGATTGCACTGTGGCCTGAGAGACTGTTTGATTTTTGTTCTTTTGCATTTGCTGATGAGTGTTTTACTTCCAATCATGTTGTCAATTTTAGAATAAGTGCAGTGTGGTGCTGAGAAGAATGTATATTCTGTTGATGTTGGGTGGAAAGTTCTGTAGCTTTCTATTAGGTCTGCTTGGTCCAGAGCTGAGTTTATGTCCTGGATATCCTTGTTAATATACTGTTTCATTGATCTGTCTAATACTGCCAGTGGGGTGTTAAAGTCTCCCACTATTATTGTGTGGGAGTGTAAGTCTCTTTTTAGGTCTCTGAGAACTTGCTTTATGTATCTGGGTGCTCCTGCATTGGTGGCATAAATATTTAGGATAGTTAGTTCTTCTTGTTGCATTGAGCCCTTTACTATTATGTAATGCCTTCCTTGTCTCCTTTGATCTTTGATGGCTTAAAGTCTATTTTATGAGAGACTAGGACTGCAACCCTTGCTTTTTTCTTTCCTTTCCATTTGCTTGGTAAATCATCCTCCATCCCTTTATTTTGAGCCTATGTGTGTCTTTGCATGTGAGATAAGTTTCCTGAATATAGCACACCAGTGCATCTTGACTCTTTATCCAGTTTGCCAGTCTGTGTCTTTTAATTGGGGCTATCAGCCCATTAACATTTAAGGTTAATATTGTTATATGTGAATTTGATCCTGCCATTATGATGTTAGCTGGATATTTTGCCCGTTAGTTGGTGCAGTTTCTTCCTAGCGCTCATGGTCTTTACAATTTGGTATGTTCTTGCAGCAGCTGGTACCCGTTGTTCCTTTCCATTTTTAGTGCTTCCTTTGGGAGCTCTTGTAGGGTGGGCCTGGTGCTGACAAAAAATCTCTCCTTTAGCTCAGAGAAGTTTGTTATTACCCACTTTCTGAAGCCTGCCTCTGTCAATTCATAAAACTCAGTCTCCATCCAGTTTTGTTCCCTTGCTAGCAAGGAGCTGTGATCCCTCAGTTAGCAATGTGGAAATCCACCTGCCTTCTGCATTGATCTTGCTGGGAGCTGCACACCAGGGCTATTCCTATTCTGCGATCTTTCCTGTGGACTCTTTCTTTTTTAGAGACAGATTCTTACTCTGTTGCACAGGCTGGGGTGCATTGGCATTATCTTGGCTCACTGCAACCTCCACCTCCCGGGTCCAAGTGATCCTCCCACCTCAGCCTCCTGAGTAGCTGGGACTACAGGCATGCACCACTATGCCCAGCTGACTTTTGTATTTTTTGGTAGAGGTAGGGTTTTACCATGTTGGTCAGGCTGATCTCAAACTCCTGACCTCAAGTTATCCACCTACCTTGGTTTCTCAAAATGCTGGGATTACAAGCATGAGCCACTGTGCTCAGCCAGATTTCAGTCTTTAATCCACCTTAATTTGATTTTTGTGTCTGGTGAAATATAGGGGTCTAGTGTCATTCTTCTGCATATTGATATTCAGCTTTCCCAGCACCATTTATTGAAGAGACCTTCTTTTCCCAAGTGTATGTTCTTGGCAATATTGTCGAAAATGAGTTCACTGAAGATGTGTGGATTTGTTTCTGGGTTTTCTATTGTATTTCATTGGTCTGTGTGTCTGTTTTTATACAAGTATCATGCTGTTTTGGTTACTGTACCTCTGTAGCATAATTTGAAATTGGGTAATATGATTTCTCAAGTTTTGTCCTTTTTATTGAACATAGCTTTGGCTATTCTGGGTCTTTTGTAGTTCCATCTGAATTTTAGGATTTTAAAATCTGTTTCTTTGAAGAATGGCATTGGCATTTTGAGGGATTGCATTGAATCTGTACATTGCTTTGGGTAGTTGGACATTTTTAATATCGATTCTTACAATATATAAACATGGAATATCCTTTTTGTGTCTTCAATTTCTTTCATCAGTGTTTTACAGTATTCATTGTAGAGATCTTTCTCTTCTTTGATTAATTCCTAGGTATTTAATTTGTGGCTATTGTAAATGGGGTTACTTTTTAAATTTTTGCCAGATTGTTCACTATTGGCAGATAGAAATGATACTGATTTTTGAATGTTGATTTTGTATTCTGCAAATTTACTGAATTTGTATATAAGTTCTAATCGTTCTTTGGTGGAATCTTTAGGTTTTTCCAAATATCATTTGGAAATTGTTTGGAAATCATTTGGAAATATCATTTGGAAATCATTTTCAAATATCATTTCCAAACATTACTTGGAAATCATTTGAACAGTTTCTTGCTTTCTGGCACAAAATGTATCCTAGGCTTATCTTGAACATTCTTAATCCTAGCCCTGCAATCAGCCATTTCTCTGAAGAGCTCTGGTTCCCTTTAGTGCAAAATGGTATTCATAAGCCAACATCTAGGCACTAAGTGTGCTCATTGCTATTGAAATGTCATTGTTACCTAGCCTTATCAGTGGAGAGAAGTAGGGAACGTATGTTTTTTGTACACACACATACATACATTTATGTCTATATCATCTGTTATCTTTTATCTATCTAGAAGGATATGAATATACACGGATACATTCATTTCAATCTAATTTCATAGGATTCATGCTAGTTTTCTCCCTTTCTGAATCCATGACTCCCTTCTGCAAAGGTGAGAAGACTGGCTTCCATCATCCTTAATATATTTACTTATTTGATCAATCCCCTTTGTGTAGCCAGCTCTTACCCATCCCCTCCCACTCATAGATGCCCTTCTCTCCTCGCTTGGGTTCTGTAGGCCCTATTTAGGCTCTAGCTGTTGCTGGCCACCCCTCTGGGTGGACCCCTTCTCTGCTTGCTTGGACTCCCATACCCTGGCCAGGCTGTCTCTCCACAAGAACATCTACTTGGTCCTCACCTTACTTGGTTTCTGACTTGGAGACCCCATGACTCTCTCTTCTCTACCTTAATGTGTGGCCACTGTCTGGCTGCCACCCACCTAGTGGCTTTTGGACTAAATTCTTCAGAAAGGGAAAGTAAAGGAAGGAATAGGAAAAGAAAAGGAATGAATGCTTTTAGCCTTGTTGCCCAGTCAATTGGCCAACTGACTCCCTTTTATTAAGTGTTCATTGTATTAAGGCAGGAGTTGAGGATGGAATGCAGGAGGTGTAAGAAAACGTGTTTCCTTCTCCCAGAAATATCAGGGGAGCTGGGCTGAAAACATTAACTCAAAACTAATACTATAGTAAGAGCTTCAGTTGTATGTTACAAAATATATTTTGAGATGGAGTCTCACTCTGTCACCCAGGCTGGAGTGCAGTGCTGTAATCTTGGCTCACTGCAACCTCCACCTCCCAGGTTCAAGTGATTCTCCTGCCTCAGCCTCCTGGGTCGCTGAGATTACAGGCACATGCCACCACACACAGTTAATTTTTGCATTTTTAGTAGACATGGGTTTCACCACTTTGCCCAGGCTGGTCCCGAACTCCTGACTTTAGGTGATCAAAGTGCTGGGATTACAGGTGTGAGCCACTGTGCCCAGTCAAAAAAGGCATAATTAAACTGTGAATGTTCTTTCTAAATAATGGGCAAAGACACAGTGGATTAACTTCCACCTATGTTAGTAATCAAATTTGAGTTCTGACAAAGGCCCCACACCAACAGTGGTTACAATGATCAAAAATATTTACTTGTTGGTTCTCAGTTATTCACTTCTATAGATTTCTCCTTAATGTGCAGGAAAGCATGCAATAATACTTTTGTAAAGAGATTTTTATTTATTTGCTTAATATAAAACTTTTCATAGAATACTCCTGATAAAATATCTCATATAAATATCACGGTTAGAGTCATAAAAATAATTCTTATTTTCATTAATAATTATGGATGAAATTATTGAGAAATGTTTATTCTCTTAGAGTGCAGAAGGAGTTAATGGTGCTAACTGGGGGTGATGGAGATAGTCCTATGAGAAGCAGAGAAGCCAAATCTAGGTCATCCCTTTCATATTACCAACTGTAACACTCTACACGGTCAGTGAGATAGCTCAATGCATGTACATAATCCCCAGTTATTTATGCAGTACATTAGATTAAGCCCATATTTATTTCAAGATTCTATTCAGAAAGTAATTTGAGGTCTCTGATGTTCTGAGGCACAGCTTTCTTCAAGAGCAAAGCAGAAGTTCAGGCTCCACTTACAGTCCCATCCCTTGGCTCAACCTTTAGAACAATGGGTTTTTCTGTTTGAAGAAGTCCTCCTGAGCGTAATTTCAGGGGGATCTGCAACAGTTAAACAAGCATATTGAGAAGCATTAAATAAAGCAAAAGTAGAAAGTATAGCATCAAAGTAAAAAAAAAAATGCATTAATGACAATAATGCTTTGTGAACATATGAAAACTACCTTCAGCACTACAAATGTTGGATTCTTTATACTTACTCTATAATGTGTGAAGACTGGATAGTGTGAGACCATTCATCATCTATCATTTAACAAAATATTTATGGAGCACCTATTCTGTGCCAGGCTTGAGACAAATTCGTGGGAACCTGTGTTCCTTTTGGATTCAAATTGTAAGTAAAAAGGATGAGTTTTTAAAATTTAAACCAGATTATTAGGTATGATGGCAAACTATTTTTGAAGAGTCATATAAAGTGAATTTTGTATATGTTGAAACTTTCAAGGTGATCATGAGTAGCTATTGTACATTTCAATTATATGGACAGTCTTCAACTTCCAGAGTCCAGTAATTCCTCCCAATTGAACCCATCCAGTGTAAAGATGGGAAGACACCTTCAGTAAGCATTATCATTTTATTTTTTCACATCTCCCCTTGGCTTCTAAGGGTAGTGCAAGTGGGGAACCCCTCAATTAATTCCTACAGTGTTTCTACTCAACTTTTCGCCCCATTCTTTTTTTTTTTTTTAAGCCCCATTCTTACTGAGACACTCCTTCAGTATTGAGGGAACACAACAGAGTAATATTCTGATCTCCACAGAGTAAAGGGCAAGAAAACTGCCACGGAGATCAAGAAGTGCCAGCTTGGAAGCTTACCAGGGAGTACCTTCCCCATCCCAGGTGTGCCAGAGGACCACTTTCTCTCAGGACTGAGTCCCCTGCCTAAGCACACATATAGGATAGCTACACAGCTGACATGAAGCTATAAATAATATGGAATATGGAAATAATACGGAAACCATCTGTATCTTCTTCCTCTCCTATGTAGAAAACTTACTTAAGGGGCAGAGTTGCATAATAAATACATAAGACCTAGAAATAAGATTGATAGGGTCTTGCTTAATATTAAGGACTAACTGTGGTAGTCCTTAATATGAATCAATAACATCTATTCTTTAACTTCTTCAGGGAAAAGATTCCTAATCTTTCTACAAACATAAAACCTTATTATTTAAAAAATTTCAAAAGGCATGAATATATTTCCCTGCAGACATGCACATGCACATGTGCACACATGCACACACATATATACATGAATGTCATTTGTTAAATGTTCACATTAAATAGCTTAAATATATACATGAATGTCATTTGTTATATGTTCACATTAAATAGTTTTTATGCAAGCCAATTGACTGCACATCACTCCTTAAATATTTACCAAATGCTTGCATTAGATAAAGTCTCTTGTAAGGCACCACTGGGATATTTTAAAAGGAGTAAAATGAGAGAATATTGTTAAGGAAGGAAGATATTCTTAGATACAGAGAAAATAGAACAAAACTCAGTGATTTAATAGCAAACTATGAAATTATATAATAATAGCCTCCAGTAACCAATAACAGAGCAGAGGAGAGGGACCCTGGACTAGGTGGAGAAGACACTTTGGAAGGGCTTGGGAATTGAACTAGGACTTGAAAGATAAGAACAGAATGAGCAAGAAAGAGGAAAGAACATTAATAGAGTTATAACTGGGTTGAAAAGTAGCCCAGTTGGATAGAGCTAGGCATCTGGAAGGTGAGGTCAGTCAGGATGGTCTTGGACTGTGGTAGTCCTTCATATCTACCAGAAATGCTTAAATTAGTCATTCTCAACCTTGGCTTCACATGAGAAACAATGTGGGAGCTTTTAAAGCCACACTCTGGGCAAATTAGTTTAGAATTACTGAGATGTCCCAGGCATCATGAATTTTTAAAGCTCCCTGGTGATTCAAATGTACAGCTAGTGGTTGGGAACCACTGTCATGAGAAAGCCTCTATAAGTTCTGGTGAGGGAGAGCACCATTGAAAAGTCAAAACAAGGTAATCATTGCACTTCATGATTGTGCAAAATACTTATCTTTCCAATCAACTTGAAATGGAATTTAAACTTTGCTCAAGTTCAGAGAGACTGCACATAATCATGGCATGGTAATCTACATTGACTTTAGATGATGTTTTTAATGCTATGGCTTTTTGACTCCACAACAGAAGCACCCTTAAAAATCATAGATGGGTCCAAATATATTCTTTGGCCCATAGAAGAAATTATTAAAAGATTAAATGAGCATATTCTTTTTAAAAAATATAGACCATTCAGTTAAAAGAATTTTTAGCAAAACATTATTTATACAAAAATTTACTTACCTGTGTTTCTTTACAAGGCTTGAAGGAGAAGTTCTGAAGGATTCTGATTAGAGCAAGTTTCATGTTCATGAGAGCAAACCTCATGCCAATGCAGTTTCTGGGTCCAGTTCCAAAGGGTGTGTATATGTAAGGATCTATGTTGTCCTTGTTATTCTTACTGAACCTAATTTCAGATTGGTAGATTAAAAAGTTAATGACATAATACCCTGAAGAGTTACATGTTAGGGTTTCTTACTTAGGGCCCACTCCTCAACTAGTAGTATACAGGATACTTTTGTGGGCTGGTCATTGAAATCCTGCTATGCTTATTTTGCGATGAGAATTGTAAGCTATAGATCCTTTCTACTCTCCTTACACTATAGGAGCTTTCAGTCTTGTTGAGATGAGATAAATGGTGTTGCATAGAATCTTTCTCTTTCTTTCTTTTTGAGATGGAGTTTCACTCTGTTGCCCAGGCTGGAGTGCAATGGCACAATCTTGGCTCACTGCAACCTCCACCTCCCAGGTTCAAATGATTCTCCTGCCTCAGTCTCCTGCATAGCTGGGACTACAGGCACTCACCACCATGCCCAGCTAATTTTTGTATTTTTAGTAGAGATGGGATTTCACCATGTTGGCCAGGATGGTCTCGATCTCTTGACCATGATCCGCCTGCCTCGGCCTCCCAAAGTGTTGAAATTACAAGCATGAGCCACCATGCCCGGCCAAGAATATTTATTTCTAAACACTAAACTTATATTCTTGCTGGTGATGTGTTGACACTATAAAAGGCAAATAAGTGATGAGACTGATTGATGGAAAAGTAGGTTCCTGCCTCAACTCACACTTATGTTGGTCATGTGGAAGGAGAAGGGGAAATTGTCTTGCACTATTTCAAAATTGTTATTTTGCACTTTCCTTCTCCTCTCCTCTCTTGTTTTTCTAATTCTCCTCCGTCTCCTCCCTACCTTCCCTCCTTCTTGTTCACTCCATTTCTCCCTGTTTCTCCTTCTTTCTCCCCCATTCCTCCATAAAATAGTTTAAGTCAGATAATTTACATGGCCATATGATGCTACTGTACTGATGTACAGCAGTATCATCACTGCTTTGTCTGTTCCACTAAGCTATAAATTCTTTGAAGATTAGAGCCAATAAAAAAATTTTATTCAAATTTGATTCCTAAATATTTGATTATATTAAGGAAAAAATATTCCTTTGAGGGATAAATAATAATAGCATTATGATCATGTGTTTTTAAGAGTCCATATATTTTGGAGACTTATGACCCTTAAGGACATAATTGATGACCTTCATCTTAAGTTGTTGGGACTGTGGGTAGCTGTAGCTTTCTTTTTTCTAGTCTGTGGTTTGTAAAGTGTGACAATGATCAGTTTGATGATTTTAAAAAAACTTTTGGGCCGGGCGCAGTGGCTCAAGCCTGTAATCCCAGCACTTTGGGAGGCCGAGGCGGGTGGATCACGAGGTCAAGAGATCGAGACCATCCTGGTCAACATGGTGAAACCCCATCTCTACTAAAAATACAAAAAATTAGCTGGGCATGGTGGTGCGTGCCTGTAATCCCAGCTACTCAGGAGGCTGAGGCAGGAGAATTGCCTGAGCCCAGGAGGCAGAGGTTGCGGTGAGCCGAGATTGCGCCGTTGTACTCCAGCCTGGGTAACAAGAGCGAAACTCCGTCTCAAAAAAATAAAAAAATAAATAAAAATAAAAATAACTTTTAAAAAAGACAAGCAAATGATTGTACAACCACATGACTGTCCTGTAGATTAAGAGAGCAGAATATGCTTGAACCAGTCTGGTTCAGGGAGGGCTCCCTTCCCAGGGGCCTTGTACCTTTCAGGGAGGAACTTCTCAGGCTCTGTCCAGTACTTTGGGTCATAGTGAAGAGCATAGCTTGGAATCATCACCACTACCCCTTTGGGAATGAACATCCCATTGATTTCAACATCTTTTTTGCAGACCCTCTCCAGTCTCATAGCAAGTGGGAATAATCTGAGTGTTTCATTCACCACCATGTCAAGATACTCCATCTGTAGCACAGTATCATAGGTGGCTGGTGCCTGGAAAGAAAGAAACAGATTTGGATACATTGAGAATTTGAATTAACTTTTAACTCAGTCCATGTAGTATTACTGAAGTGTTAGGAGCTTCAGAGACTAACTCATACTGGTAAAGGATCGTAGCATTCATAAAGTATTTTAATAACTGTTATGCCCACTGATGTGCTGAATGGCCCACTGAGATGTGTGGAGGAGTAATGAAGGTGGGAGACATTCGGGACCATCCTCACCCCAGGTACTAAAAATCTTTAGCATAACTGTATAGTGGTTTTTCTTTCTCATGGAAATAGATGTGACTAATAGGCTATGACAACTAGCATCAAATAAAATGTGATAAAGTGACTGTCACCTTTCAAAAAAGAAGTCACATGCCTGTAACCAGGAAAGTAAAAACAGATAAAAGGAGCAAATTATCTGTGCCACACAAGGATTATTGGTTGCAAAGTCCTGCATGGTAACTTTTTGTTATACATACAAACAAGAGTTACAAAGCAGGATTTGTATTATATATGTCTGTGTGTACAAAAAAAAAAAAAAAAAAAGCAGGACTTTTGTTATATAAATAAATGTGGAAAGACACACTATATTATATAAAATCTCTATCAATAATTTGAGAATAAACTAGTCCCTTTCTATCCCAAATATGACAAAAGAAGATTCTGGTTGGATGTCACCAGAGCACACAATTTCAATGCTAGTGAAAGTTATAAAGAGGCTGGAACAGCCCTGTCCTCATTTGTTGAAACAGTCTCCTAGTTGTTACTTCAGGGCTGGACTGTAATCTCTGTCCCTTTGTGTTCACCTCACTGCCACACCAGGGCCAGCCCCAGAAGCTAGGTTTCTTCATACCACAAAGAATCCCAGTTTTGGCAGAGGCCTGAAAACACTGTGGGTGATATGTACCTTGTACTTGGTGTTATATTTGGAAGGCAGTATTATAGAGGTTAAGAGTTCAGCTCAGGAGTCAGATACCCTGGTTCCTAGCTTGGCTTCTTCACCAGTGGCTACCTGACTGGAACATGAGACAGGTATGGGGCAGAGGTGAGTCAGCCTGCACAGCACACCCAGGACCAAGCTCTGTCAGACCACAGCCAGACCAGAGCCAGTCCTGCCAATGTCAGCAGAGCTCACTATCCAGACGTGTGAGCAACAAATGCTTATTGTTGGATGCCACTGAGGTTTTTGGATGTTTTTAACTTAGCATTATTGTGGTAACAGAAAGCAGATGAACCAGGGCCAGTACTGTTTTACAAAGATCTTATAGTTTTGCTAGTCACAACCATTCTCTATGTTTCTCCCCTTGTGTTTCTCCTCAGAGCCTTCCTACATAGTGTCAGTGAAAGAATCACTAATTATGCTTTTTATAAAAATTCTCCTGGGAAGTGGTGGGGAGGCATTCTTGCTAAGGCTTCACCTCCTCCCTCCTTCTCCATGTATCATCCACTCACCTTGTTGGGTAAAACTGCATCAATTTCCTCCTGCAGTTTCTGCTGGACATCAGGGTGAGTGGCCAGTTCATACATAATGAAGGAAAGAGTACTGCTGGTGGTTTCATAGCCAGCAAAAATAAAGATAATTGATTGGGCCACGAGCTCCAGATCAGACAGAGCTGAAAGGAGAGGAAAGACATTTTAAGTAAATTAGGTCAATGGAGGGCATCATAGTTTAGATGAAGAGAAATCTAAGTGAAGCCCTCAAATCCCTAGGGGAAAAAACAGAAAAGCAATTCAGAGTCACACTGGGGGTGGTTTCACTTTGATATGTATCTTACAGAGCCAGAACAAGGCAAATCATTTTCATCCAGTTTTCCCCAAGGTATACAAGAATGTGGGCCATCCACTTCTCCTCCTGCCATCCCCAACACCTGCACAACTGGGTAATTTCCAGAGAGAGTGTTTCTACATAACCTACTCAGTGTTATGGGTATGCTTCTTGAATGATCCTAAAAGTACTTTATTGTAAATTAATATGGGGTAGTCTTCTCCCCCAAGAAAGATGTAATTTATTTTAGCTACAATATACCTTGACAAACTTTGAGGGAATTTGCAACATTAATGGTTAAATATAGGGAAAATTAAAGGACCTTTCCTATAGATATGTTTGAGGGAAGTTAAGGGACCAATACTAGACTACAAACCATCTCTAGCTACTCAGAGTGTGGTCCACAGTTCAGAGGCATCTGGGAGTTTATTAGAAATGCAAAATCTCAAACCCCACCCTTGAACTACAGATTCAAAATCTGAACTTTCACAAGATGCAGTGATTTGTTTGCATAGCCTAGCTTGAGAAGCATGGATTTTATCTTTGAGAGGTGTTAGGTGATAGATCTAGGCTACAGGTTTCAGAATTTGCTATCTCAGGATGTACAGGAACTAGAGATGGAAAAAAGGCTATATGATTGGTGACTGATTGTAGTCTGATGAATGGCATTAAAAGAGCATAAGCTCCTATGATTACAAGTTGGCTCCCCTCTTGATTTGTCTCCTGAGAGAAGCTCAGGATGCTCCATCACTCATCTATTTGATCAGGACTGGATTAGGACCTTAGAGACCTGGAACACAGAAATAAATATGGTGCCTGCTCCAACCATGTAATTCACAACTAAAACCAATATTAAATGAGTGTGAGAAAGGTCAACAGAGCTGTGATTTACCAGTGAAGATTTCTGTGATGTAGTTGTGGGTAAATTAAACTATCTAATAATTGTATTCAGTTACCGTGAACCTGATGATACTGATGCGGAATTGAACTGTACGCTCAAAGTTTAGAGCTCTCCTGTCCAATAAGGTAGCCTCTATCCACATGTGGCTATTTAAAATCAAATTTCATTCAATTAAGCTTAAATACCATTTAAAATTGTTCTTCAGTGGCACTAGCCACATGTCCAGTGCTCAATAGCCTTATGTGTCTAGTGATTTCTGTATGAAACAGTAAAACAATACACTATTTCCTTTATCACAGCAAGTTCTATTGTGATAGATTAATAGATAGATAAATGATATATGATAGAAAATAGGTAAGTAGATAGGTGATAGTTGGACAGATAATTGATAGATGATAGACAGACAGAAGTAGATGTAGACATGGACATATTTAAAGCAGACTACTAGAGTTAGCCCAGTCCTGCTTTCTAGAACCAATGGGTAAATATACAGGAATTTTGTGAGATGGTTGCCAAATCTTGGTGGCTTGAAATTGACCATGGTCATCATTTTGCCACTGTCATTATAATAATTACTTTAGTAAAAACCATACATGGGTTGTAGGTGAAAGATTAAAGACAAAGAGGATATTTAGTTGGTCTCAGATATTTCCCCTACAAGTTACTTATCCATTTGAAAGGGAAAAAATAACTTTGCAGTAGATTAGCCTGGTGAACACACTTTCAGCAAGTACTGCCAGTTAAAATCACCCTTATTTGGACAGCATATCTCCTGACTGGATGTTAGATATATTAGGTTGCTGTAAAAGTAATTGCAGTTTTGGCCATTAAAAGTCATGACAAAAACCGCAATTACTTTTGCAGCAACCTAATAAATTTCCAGGCAGAAGTTTTGTTTCAGTGGATCTGGAGGAGACTGAGAACTGACATTTGATCTGATGTAGGTGATCCACTGACCGCTGACATTATGGCATGCCAGGTTTGCTTAGGTTGCCCTTTAAGCTTAGAACATGGCTATCTATGCCTGTACGCCTCTGAAAAGTATCTCCGCTACCATTTATACATCCAAACATGTATCGTTCTGCTATGTGACAGAAATTCTCATCTTCCTCGAATACTTCCTGCACATTTTCAGAACAAGGACCTCCCTCTTAGTGCCCCACCAGTAGCCCCCAGAAGCACTCTTTGGTTACCTTTGTGGGACTCAGTTTCTTTCGAATTCTGGGAGTCAATCATCAACTGAAGGAAATCCACTCGGTGCTAGAAGCAAAAAGAGACATTACATTGACAGAAAGTGACTCATCAAGTCAGAAGTAAATCAGAAGTGCAGTCCTCAGCCTCCCTTCTGAGAATATGGCCCCTTGAAGACCAGAAATCTGATGGGTGTTGCCTGAGTCACCAGTGAAAAAAATATCCATCTAAATCCTTGGAAAGCAGGATGTTTTCCTGAAACAAATCTGGCTATCATGTTCAATTGCTTTTTGGTCTTTGCTCCTTACTGATCCTCAGTCCCCTGTCTTTTGGACATAGCTTCCTGGCCAAAGAGTTGCTAGCTCTTTCTGTGGGCATAACTGGTACCCATGAAGAAGCCCTGGACCTCTTATTCTTGTCTTCCTCCCAATGTCCACAAAGATTAATCTCCTGACATTTCCAGAACTTAGCAGCTTTGGTGGGAGCATCTTCAAATACTCCAACATTCCCAAACTCTATACAATCTTTATTGACACCTGGGTTACCCAGTCCTGCCTCTGTGACCTGCAGACATCTTTGGCTGACCTCTAGGGCTCATAAAAGCAAAGTTGAGTTAGCCAACCTTGCAGCCTCAATTCCCAGAGAAGACCTCTGTTCACTTCAGGTTGTGAGAGGGCTCAGATGTAACACACACTATACTTCAGCAAGTGGCCTGATAGGGCCTTTCATTGCAGAATGTGTAAAATAACAGGCTTGTATTTGAAATGACTCTTTACCAATCTATGATCTGGGGAAAGTATAATACCAGTAAAATATATTTCCAAACAGTAATGTTTATCCTTTGACAATTTATTGAAGGGAAGTCAAGTGGTAAAATTTTATCTTTATAGTATTTATGCCATGGCATACTAATTGTTGCACCTGATAACAAATTTTAAGTGCTGTCTCTGACTCATTCTCATGTCTCCTTCCCCAAACTACACCTTCTGCATTCCTACCAAATGAATTCTCCTGCTCTAAACATAAGTACTCTTCATGTTAAAATCTTTATTTTAAAACATACAGGTAAGTGCACCAATCATATGTATATTATCTAACAAGTTATGAAAAAATAAACATCCTCCTATAACTACCACCAGATTTTACCTTATGTGTATCTTTGAGGCGACTTTCTTTTATCCTTTTTATAGATTTTCTTAAAAAACTTGTAGAATCTCTTGGAAACATAGAAATATTTAATGCTTCAAAAATTGGGGTAAGGAATGGGAAGAGTACTGTAGGAAAAACACAACAACAGAAGAGGAAACCATTGTGAACATGCAAAATTTACCAGAGCAATTCTAATTTTCTCTACCAATCAGAAGAGTAAAAGACATCAAGGTTGTCAACTGGAAGCCATTCCTTCTATGACTTTTGCCCATCTTCCAGGCCAGTGGCTGAGCAAGGGCAGGTCTATACATAGGGACCACCACTACAGAAGTGAGGTCAGCAGCCCCTTCTGCGTCTTTCGAATGATGAAAGAAACAAAATTCAATATCCTAATTTCTTAGCCTTTATCTATTGGACTAGAGTCTCTTAGGATAACCCAAATCATAATTTGCTGCTTAAATTAATCATGCTGTTCAAGAAATAGTCGTCACGATAGAAATAACATAGCATATCTCTGTCACCTATTCATGGAATAAAGCTAAAATCAATAAGGGAAAGACAATTGGGAAACTGACACATATGTGAAAGTTAAATAATAAACTCTTAAGTAACCAATGAGTCAAAGTAGAAACCCAAAGGGCAAATAGGGACTGTTTTGAGGTGAAAACAAATTAAGATGTGATAGGCCAACTCATGGGATTTAGCAAAGGAAGTGCTCAGAGGGAAATTTATAGCTATAATGTCTAAACTTAGGAGAACAAAAAATCACAAACCAGTAATCTACATTCATGCCACAACACAGTAAACAAAGAAGTGCAAACTAAGCCTAAAGCCAGCAGAAGAAAGAAAATGATACAGACTGAAGTACAAATTCATGAACCAGAGAATAAAAACACTGACAAATTAATACCATTTCTATGAAGTGTCCAGAATAGGCAGCTTTCTGCCTCTTTATGTTTTCTGTACATAAATACAAAGAGGCAGAAAGTTGATTAGTGTTACATATAATGACGGTTTGTGGCAGGGGGTTGATAGCTTAAAGTGTATAAGGTCTCTAGATTGACAAAAATGTTTTAGGGTTTACAATGGTGATGGTCACACATATCTTCAAGCACATTGCAAACCACTGAACTGTACATTTTAAGTGGATGAATTACATGGTATGTGAATTACATCTCAATAAAGCAGTTATTTTTAAAAGAGAAAAGGAAATAGTAGTTCACATACTTATTGAGAGAAAGAATGGATCTGAAAAGTCAAATCTTATAAGCTTCCTGGTGTTTTCCACAAAGGGGTCTTTTGGATTGTTGAGAGAGTCGATGTTCACTCCAAATGATGTGCCAGTGATCACATCCATGCTGTAGGCTCCAAAGATGCTGAGTGGAGAAAGACATGGAAAATTAAAATCAGCACCACTCTACCATCCTTCCACTGTACATGCAACAGGAAACCCACATATCCAGTCAAGACAAAGAGCCACAGACTTTCAGAACTATCTACTCGATCATCTTCCATCACACCCCCTCAGAAGGTGGTTATCAGGTGCTAGTGATGCAGCTGGCCCTATGCTGGGTGTGATGGAGACACCAAGCTGAGTTAGACTCACCTCTGAGGTCAAGGAATCCAGTCATAGAAAGACAGAGACCCATTATCAGACAACCATAGTAGCATGTATTGAGTGTGGATGATATAAGATGTGTAAGCACTGTACTTTAGCAGGACGAGAGTAGAATAATTAACTCATCCTAGTGGATTCAAGAAAGGTGATATCTGACTACAGACTCTATGCCCAGAGCTGATTCCTCTTCAGCACTTAACAGCAACATCCTGTTCTGAGCTCCCAGAAATATTGTCCTTATTCTCTCCACTCCCTGCTAAAGCTTTGGAAAGTTCCACTGTCCCCAGCTCTTGTGAGCTGAGGTTGCCCTGATGGCAGAATCATTTTTATAAAATATAATGACCAAGAACGTCCTGGTTAAAAATAATCTCTCAGCCAGGCACGGTGGCTCAAGCCTGTAATCCCAGCACTTTGAGAGGCCAAGGCAGGTGGATCACAAGGTCAAGAGATCGAGACCGTCCTAGTCAACATGGTGAAACCCCATCTCTACTAAAAAAAAAAAAAAAATACAAAAAATTAGCTGGGCATGGTGGCGCGTGCCTGTAATCCCAGCTACTCAGGAGGCTGAGGCAGGAGAATTGCCTGAACCCAGGAGGCGGAGGTTGCGGTGAGCCGAGATCGTGCCATTGCACTCCAGCCTGGGTAACAAGAGCGAAACTCCGTCTAAAAAAATAATAATAATAATAATAATAATCTCTCAAAAATTGATATGGAAATTCCTATACCTGAGTGACCACATATCCCCATTCTGCCCAGGACAGGCTCAGATTACACCCATTATTCCTGCAAAATTGAAGTACATACTAGTGTAGACAGCAAATAATAGGCTTGCCTTACCTATGGTGTTTCTAGCACCCTCTCTAAGACTGGGGGAAAAAGTAGTAGTGGGAATGTTTAATCTTTTGTATGTTACTCACATCCTCAGAAAAACCATGAAAGGATCAAAGTTACTTAAAGTTCTCCATTATAACTTTCCCACCCTACTCACTGCCAACCAACAGATACCAAGTGCCTTCCCTTTCCACCATCCCATACACTCCATACTTAAAACTTTGATATAATCATGCTTTTTTCCCCCTAAAGTAGGTATTTAGTCTTCCAGAATATTCAGGGTGACAATTTATCAGATAAGTAAATCGTGGCTCATGTGCACAGGGGAGAAGACCCTTTACCTCCAGCTGCGCCACTTCCTCATGGGAGCTGCCCCATCTTGGGTGACCCATGGGAGTTGCAATATCACAGCCTTCCTTTTGTCTGGTCACTGGAATAACCAAACAGTGGCAATATTAGCTCCGTGGCAGGCAGCTGGAGAGGCTAATGATGGCTAAGAACCCCATGGCTGTGCTCCTACTTACTCTTTCATGTTGATGGGCTTGCCTTTCTCTGCTTCCCGCCTCAGGTTTTTCACCAACACCTCTCCATACTGGGCAATGATAGGGACCATCTAAGCACAAAACACACCACCCATAGTTAAAAGCACAGACTCAAGTCCCAGAAGGACATGGCTTTCTCCAGCATGGAGCAGTAAGTGACATTTTATAATGAATTTTGTGATGTCTTTTCTGTACATAAACATAAAAGACCATTTTTAGGAAGCTCAAATTCAGTGGACTAACCTTTAGAAAGGGACTGTGATCTTACTTTCTACCTGTCCCCATCAGCTTCATTCTTTAAGTTTCTAATTAAAACTCACGTTATTTTCATACCTCCTTGAGTTTTCCACTGGTGAAGGTTGGAGACAGCAATGATCGTATTCTCTTCCATTCTTCATCCTCAGCTATAGAGATGGCACTTTTCATAAATCCCACCGGACCGAAAGGCTAGAGTTCAAAGCAGAAACATTTTGTCCTACATAAGTTGTGGAGATCTCCATGGTTGTAGAAAATGTGTTAAACAGGCATCACATTAACAGATATTTAGTGACTGTCTGCTAGGTGACAGGCCCTATGCTAGATGCTCAATAGAGATTTATCCCAGATGCCCGGTATCCTGGGATGTATTTGCATGTGGGGCAGTGTTCAAGAGACCCAGCCACCTGATGTGGTCTCCAGCCTCTATATCCCAGTCTCCTTTTGTATGCAAATTCTCCACATGGTAGGGAACCTGGTCTTCCAGTGGAATAGACAGGATGAAGACCTAGGACTTGCCCCCAGGACTGTACAGTCTAGAGAGGGAGTGGTGACAGACAGGCAGGCGGCTTTGCTGGACTGTATGTGGCCTCAGACAAGCTCTGTCTTTATGTTCACCTACAACATGGATAACTTGAAAAAGAGGTCCCTTGATGTGGTGATTAAAAAAAAAAAAATAGTAGGTAAAATTTTTAAAACTAGGAATATATTTTGAAGAAATAATGAGATTCCATGAAAATTCTTTTCTCTTAATTTTTTATTCCATAGATAGAAAAAGAGGTAATTATTTTTGCCAACTTGGAACTGGCCTATCAAGCCAACATGCTTGAAACTTTCTTTCATCTTCCATAACCATATTTTGTTTTATAATGAGCACTTCCAGCACTCATTTATGACAAAAACTCAGCAAATTAGGGAGAGAAAGCGCCTCAATTTGATAAAGGGAATCTGCAAGAAAAAAAACACCCAGTTCATCTAAGTAATGCTTAGTGATGAAAGACCGAATGCTTCCCTCCTAAGATTAGGAACAATTCAAAAATTCACCACATTTACTCAACATTATACTGGGAAGTCCTAATGCAATAGACAAGAAAAAAGAAATAAAAGGCATACAAATTGGAAAGGAAATAAAAGAATTGTCTCCATTTCCAGGTGACATAATTGTCAATGTACAAAATCTCAAGGAATATACAAAAAGACTTGTAGAACTACTAAGTTTTGCAAGGTTCTAGGATACAAGATCAACACACAAAAACCAAGCACATTTCTATGTAACAACAATCAATATCTGAAAATACAAGAAAAACATAATATAATTTAGAGTCACTCCAACAAAAATGAAATACCTTAGCGGTAAATCTGACAAAACATGTACAGGATATCTATGCTGAAAACTACAAAATGTTAAAAGCAGTCAAAAGAAACCTAAGGAAATGGAGAGGCAACTATGTTCATGAATTGAAATACCAAACATAGTAAAGATACAGATTTTCCCTAAGTCGATCTATACATTTAATTCAATTCTTGTCAAATTAACAGGTTTATTTGTAGACACTGACAAACTCATTCTGAATTTTTATGGAAAAACAGAAGACCAGGAAAAGCTAAAACAAATCTGAAAAAATAAGTCAATAAAAGTGGGAAGAATCACTCTACATGATGTTAAGAGTTACTATACAGCCTGTCACACACAGTATCACCAAAGCAAGCCATAGACAGCCTGCATGACCTAAGAGGATCTGGGGCAATACAGATCATCAAGCAATACAGTTATCTTCGTGAATTTTGGGACAAATTAGCTGTATATCTATCATCAAGAGATTCATAATCAAGATCTGTATCAAGATAAAGCATTTCAAATAGCACATGTATGACCATGTCTGAAATGTAAGCGTTCTCTAGCATAATTTGTATCGAAATAAACTACGTTATCAACTTGAATGTAAATGTACATGTTCAGATATTCCTAAAGCTTATATTGACCAAAAAAAAAAAAAAAGAGTTACTGTACAGCTACTAGAGTCACTGCGTGTGGTATTGGTGGATGAATAAACACAGTGATCAATGGGACGGAATAGCAAATGAGAGATGCACAGAAATAAGCCCAATTGATTTTTAAAATATGCCCACCTTTCCAAAAATGGTGTTGGAACAACTGGACAGCCAAAAGCCACACAAAAAATGAACCTTGATTTAAATCTCATACCTTATGCAAAAAATAACACAAAATGGATAATAGAGTTACATTTAGTAAAGCATTAAACTTTATGACTTTTAGAAAAAAACAGCAATATAGGAAGAAGGGCTAGGCAAAGAACTTTCAGACTTGACACCCAAAACACAATCCATAAAAGGAAATATTAATACGTTGACCTCCTAAAAATAAAAAAGTTTGCTCTGATCTAGACCCTGTCAGAGAAAAAGACTTGTGACTGTAGGATAGCGGAAGGGAGCCACATGGTGATGGAATGGGTATTCATCTTGATCATGCTGATCACTGATAAATTTGTACAGAACTACACACACATTTAAGACCAGCCTGGCCAATTTGGTGAAACCCCATCGCTACTAAAAATACAAAAATTAGCTGGGCATGGTGGTGCGTGCCTGTAGTCCCAGCTACTTGGGAGGATGAGGCAGGAGAATCCTTGAATCCGGGAGGGAGAGTGTACAGTGAACCAAGACTGCACGACTGTACTCCAGCCTGGGCGACAGAGCAAGACTCCATCTCACAACACACACACACACACACACAACTACACATACAAATATACAAGTGAGGGCACATAAAACGGGTGAAATCTGAATAAGCTCTGTAAACTGTATCAATATATTAATGTCAATTTCCTGTACTATAGTAACATGAATATACTGTATTTATAGTTATGCAAGATTGCAAGATGTTACCATTGTGGGGGACAGGATGAAGTGTATGTGGAACCTTCCTGAACATTTTTTAGGCAGTTGTCTATGAATATATAAGAATTTCAAAATAAAAATTTAATCAATCAGCATTTAAATTTCAAAAAATAGATGCTTACCCTCCGGTTAGTGAAGACAGAGTAACATTCTTTCACTAGCACTGTTTTGATTATGTTGGGATCTGCGATAGCCAGCACAGGCTGTCGACCATCATAAATCCTGTGTGGAAAAAAAAAGAGTTGATTAAACATCAACAGCCTTATTCTACAGCCGGAGCCAAACCCAGGAAGCCAGACTTTGACCCTCACATTACATAAACCGCTCCTTGTACAATCCACAGCAACCTTAGGTTCTAGTTCATTAGGTATGGCACATGGCAAGAGTCTGACACAGGAGCCACCCAAGTCTTCATATGACAAAGGGTAATGTGGGCCAAACAGGGAAGAGACATTCAAAGACAAAAGAGCTCTTCAAAGAGATCATGCTTAGAAATATAGGAGAGCATTTGTTAAGCTGGGTGGTGCATACGTGGGTATTTCCCATGCCATTCTCCATAATGTTTCATATGTCTAAATATATATATATTTGAGATGGAATCTCGTTCTGTCACCCAGGCTGGAGTGCAATGGCACTATCTCGGCTCACTGCAACCTCCGCCTCCTAGGTTCAAGCAATTCTCCTGCCTCAGCCTCCCGAATAGCTGGGACTACAGGTGCATGCCACCACGCTTGGCTAATTTTTTGTATTTTTCATAGAGACAGGTTTCATTGTGTTAGCTAGGGTGGTCTTGATCTCCTGACCTCGTGATCTGCCCATCTTGGCCTCCCAAAGTGCTAGGATTACAGGCATGAGCCACTGCACCCAGCCCAAAATATCTCACTTTTGAAAAGAATATTAGGTTCATGAAAAATTGAAGGTAGGTAAATCATCAGATGCTCACAAGAGTAAATGTTGCAAGGGGCAGTTGGTGTGGGGGCCCATGGACCTCCCGAGCTGTGTGTTCTTTCTACTCAGTCGTGTTGCCTGTATGAGCCGTACCAGCTCCACAGCACCCTGCAGCCAGCACTGCGGTTTCTGAGGACTTGGTGAGAGAAGATGAAGCACAAAGAGACAAAGCCTTCTCCCACTTGCTTCTAGTGAACAAACACACCACTGCCCCTCCTCCACTGCTCTCACCAAACCTCTAGCCCCTCTGACAGGGAACAGCTGCTGCAGTTGGCTGAGGCCACCTGATAAAATCACAGTCCGTCAGCCCCCCAGGGAACACAATGGTTTAAGAATATTCAGCATCTCTTCTTCAAAGTAAGCAAAATGGTATAAGCCAATATGTACCTGTATATCCTTCTATTAAAAAGTCTTGGCTTAAATTTAATAACAAAATGGAAGGAAAAATTCCACACTTGCAGTGGAAAAAAAAAAAAAAAAAAAAAAAACAAAAACCAGTAGAGCATAAATGGTTTCCCAGATACAGTTTCTCTGTATCTCTCAACCCTTCTTTTAAAAGTTCATTAATTCCAAAGTTTAAATGAAAGAGTTTTGACTTTTAATTGGAAGTGAATCGATGTGGGAAGATGATGCCATGCATTTATGAGCACATATTATAAAAGTCTTGAGACAATGCATGTGATAAAAGGCACCTAAGGAAGAAAAAAAGAAGAGAGGAATGGGCAGACACTGGTCAGAAGGCAATGCTGGGAGTCCCTGAGCCAACAAAGCCTGGAGAAGAGTTGTAACCACAATGCTGCCAGCCTAGTTCAGACTGAAAAGCTCGACATCCTTGGTAGGACAGGCCTCAAAAAGTTTTACAGTAGTGTGAACGTTGTCAGAACCAAAATGATGTCACTGTGTGTGTGTGTGTGTGTGTGTGTGTGTGTGTGTGTGTGTGTAAAAACCCTGACAAATAAGGCTATGAAGAGGGGATTCACATGCTTGTGTGCCTGACAACAAAAGTACCACAAAAGACTTTGCAAAACCACAGGTTTGCACAAAGACCATCCCAACCTTACATAAAAATAGTTTTTCAGGGACACCTGCCCAGCAACTGCCTGTTCAACCTTGGTGTGGAGCCACCCTTGTTACTGATCTTTGTAGGGAAGGATAATTATTTCAAAACTGGTATGAAACCCCCCTCCTGTTTTCCTTGGAGCATCTTGGTTTTGCTTTACCACCCCCCCGAATTTGCATGTAGTTTATAATGGCACACAGATTCCCATTGCAATAATTATCCTCTTCTTTCAGAGAAGTTCTCTGTTTATAGTTAGGTTGACAAGAGCTTTATCCGAAGGACAGTCTCTGGGCTGAGACTGTCCTCTGTGCAGTGGGGTAACCTCATCATAGAAACAAGTCTATCCAATGGAGGTTTCCAGAATACTCACCCCCACACTTTTCCATACTTTTTATAACATTCCATGTCAAACTTCCAAAAGCCCTGGGAGGAGAAACAAAATAATACTTGATTATTATTTTAAACGTACTAAACCCTGTCTCTAAATGGAACCGAAAACAGTCGAGTCCAATGAAATCAGACTTGCTGGCAGTTAGAGGAAGCTTATTTAGAGACGTCATAAGGGAAAGGAGAGAAAACAGAGGAGATATTTGAAATGGGAAATTTAAAAATCACTCTTGAATTTCCTCCAAGTGTTGTGGATACTGAATGACTTATCCTTGTGTATAAATACTAAGCAACTCCTTGTCTTTCAATGTCTTTTTCTTTTTCATGTGTTGTCTCTAAAATCTGATAAATCCCTGAATGATCACCTCCAGGGACAGTGGGGAAACTGAAGCTGAGGGAATGTGAGTGTCAGAAGGGAATGCACAGCCTTTGATTTCTTTGTTCATCATCCTTTTCATTTATTTCATGAGCTCGCTCTAGAATTCTAGCAGAATTAGTAAGTTACAGACCCCAAGGACCTCTTTTAGTCTAGCAGATTTAGGTAAGTCTGAGGCATGTTGTTGAGTGAGAAAATGAGTGAGCAACAGAATGACAAAGTGAACTTGCTTTCCAGTTTTCCAGCTTAACATGGAAGTTACGAGAAAATGTCACCTCTACACATCAAACACAACAAATTATGACACTGGCTCAGAGTTTTCACTGAAACTTAAAAACAATTGTGGTACTTCCTCAAGGACCTAGAAATAGAAATTCCATTAGACCCAGCAATCCCATTACTGGGTATATACCCAAAGGATTATAAATCATTCTGTTATAAGGACACATGCACATATATGTTCATTGCGACATTGTTTACAATAGCAAAGACCTGGAACCAACCCAAATGCCCATCGACGGTAGGCTGGACAAGGAAAATGTGGCACATATACACCATGGACTACTATGCAGCCATAAAAAATGATGCGTTTATGTCCTTTGTAGGAACATGGATGAATCTGGAAACCATCGTTCTTAGCAAACTGAAACAAGAACAGAAAATCAAACACCACATGTTCTCACTCATAGGTGAGTGATGAACAATGAAAACATATGGACACAGGGAAGGGAGCATCACACACTGGGGTCTGTTGTGGGGGGCCAAGGGAGGGACAGCGGGGGCATGGGGAGGTCAGGGAGGGATAACATGGGGAAAAATACCAGATGTAGGTGACGGGGGGATAGAGGCAGAAAACCACATTGCCAAGTGTGCACCTAAGCAGCAATCCTGCATGATCTGCACATGTACCCCAGAACCTAAAGTACAATAAAAAAAAATCCTTCCTGTTTCTATATTTCAGGGGCGATGTTTTAACTATGCAAAAAGAGGTCCCAGGAATGTATATTTTGGGGGTATATCTACTAAAGAGTTGACCTGGGAAAGGTGGTGGGGAAATTATTGCCTTTGCAGAGGGAAAACATAGGAAGCTCCTGGGTAGTAATTAGACAACAAAGCCCTCACTTGGGAGAATTAGAATCTGAGAAATGAGACTCAGGTATGCAGGAAAGATGATCTAAGCCAGAGAGCCGACTGCTGCTGCTGGCCCTGTGGACGTGAGCTCTTCATTTTCCATCCAGGGGCCAGGCCCCTGGCAGAGCATCCGACCCAGTTAGGCACAAAGGCTGGGCCAAAGTTCACAGTCCGTGTGGCACATACGGCATTCTATTCAGTCAAATTAAATACTTAATAATTTTGTCACATCATCCCCCTTTCTAGTGATTTTGCATGTGATTCCCTTTTTGTGTGAAAAGCACACACACACACACACATAAATTCATTTTGTGCTTAAATATCTGAGGTTGATAGACAACCACTATCTCATCATCTCAGTTATATCCACTCCCTGCTCAGACTCACCCACAGGGTGCAGCTTTTGAGGAGAAGAAGTAAAGCAGAAAACCTTTGTTCTGTCTCTCACATCTACAAAAGATGTCATGGGAAGTAAGAGCTGGGGTAGAGTCATAGAAATACTATCAGGGAATTGAGCATTTTTTGGAGACTACTCAAATAGGTGCAAACGACCCAATGGTAAATACTTGGGCGCCCCAATAAACTGAGTTTCAAAGCTGTCCAGGAGGAAGGGGGAAAAGGCTAACTCATGAGCTCTTGCTACACAGAGGAGAGTTTGACTCTCATGTACACAGACAACAAGCCACAATTGGAAGGTCCTGTTACTACTTTTAATACTAAGTATGACTGTACCTTCCTGGGAACCTGCACGGAGCAAGAAAATCCTCTTTATGGTGCTCACAAAGTCTGCACATCAAGTTCTGAACATCAGGTTGCTGATCTCCCTGAGATTTGGGCTGTTCGACTGAGGCAAACCTGAGGTTCCTGAGAGTGAACAAGAGCCCCGGGGTAATCTTTGCTGTGCTCTGGGTGATGTCTGCACACTGTTTCTGAAAGTGTAAAACCTCAGACCTTCCTCCCAAGGAGAAACATTTTTACTGATGGAACTAAGTTGCTCTTTGCCATCATAAGAAGCAAAACGGGGAGCTCCAGAACACTCACCTGACGGTAGGACAAAACAGTTCCGAAAAAGGGCAGAGGTGTGGGTCCCGGAATTCCAAGCTTCTTAAAAAGCCCATGTGAATGAGTTCCATATCTACAAAGTGAAACAGAAGTCAGGTTGCAGGGATTGTGACTTTACAGATATAGGGGCTGGTGAGTCACTGAGGAACTGAAATTGTCAAGAGAGGGAGGTAACATTAAGGCAATAAGTAATAAGAGTAACTCCAACAGCAAAGATGATTATTTGTTCATCAGGTCCTTTCCTGCCTCCACCATGAGACCTCAAAAAGTCACAATGATTAGCTAAAAGCAGCTGAAGTCTTCCTGGTCCCAGTCCTGGAGTGAATACTTCATAAATGTCCTCAAACGTGAGTGCTACTGAGAGGTTCAGGTGGGAAGTCTTCCCGGGCACTTCATTCCCTTATGTCTATCTAATAAGTGGACTCTTCCCTGATTTGGGAATCCTCATCCTAGGTAGAAAGGGTGACATTTTTGTCTTCTGCAGTGATGAGATTTTGCATCATTGTATACAGTCAACCACAGAGGGTCACTGAGAGCCTATGGCGACCCTATCTTTAAGATTTGCTCAGAGGCTTCTATGCTTTCCCTTCCCTCTAAACTCTGACCCTGTTTTAGGATCTGACCCTTCTTAAACTGTCATTCACAGGTCTTGGAGGAGTCAGAGGCTTAATTTCTACAGATGGACAACTGTGCTCCAGGCTTCCATTGGCCTCATAGAAATGGGAGCACCTTTCAGCTACACTTCAATCTCTGTGGTCAGAAGATCTGGTTGATTTGAGCTGCTGGGGAGGATGACTGACTCATATTTTCATGAATGACAGTGTGCAGAAGAATCACAACTAAAGAACCAATTTCCAGAATGTTCCTCCTCTTGTGGAGTCTAGCCTTCCAACTGGTGATATTCACCTGATAAGCACGGTGCCAGGGCTATGGTCTGCGTCTGTACCCCTACCCAAATCTCATGTTGAAATGTAATCCCCATTGCTGGAGTTGGGGCCTGGTAGGAGGTGATTGGATCTTAGAGGCAGTTTCTCATAGTTTAACACCATCCCCCGCTGGATGCTGTCCTCGTGACAATGAGATTTTATGAGATCTGGTTGTTTAAAAGTGTGTGGCACTTCCTCCCCACTCTCTCTTGCTTCTGCTCCAGCCATGTAAGATCTGCCTGCTTTTCCTTCACCTTCTGCCCTGATTGTAAATTTCCTGAGGCCTCCCTAGAGGCAGAAGTCACTGTGCTTCCTGCACAGCCTGCAGAACCATGAGCCAATTAAATCTCTTTTCTTTATAAATTACCCAGCCTCAGGCATTTCTTTATAGCAATGCAAGAAAGGATGATTACAGCCAGACATGCCCATTTTTTTCAAGGCGATCAGTCACAAAGCAGTCAGTTTGTTGCCTCTGCACATCAACTATCTCTGTAGGAAAACCCATTAAGGCTGGTGCTCCCTCTGGCAGGCCTGCTTGCAGCTCATCTTTGATGCATCATGCATGGACCCTCCCAGCTGGGGGTTATGGATGTCTGAAGACCTTCCCAGTCTGATGTTACTGAGCTGGGGAGGACTGCAGGAAGAACAAAGGCTGATGGAAGGGGTCGCCAGCCATCAATTCAACCATGAATCTGCTAGTCCCACAAAGTTGGCCTCAGAGAGGCAAATCAGGAAAATGTGGTGAATAGTGTGGAGTGTATAAATGAATCCGTTCACCTTGTATGTGCTTTCAGCTGAAAGACAGGGGCCTTCTAATGTCCACGTACCTTCCTGTTGATAGCAAAAGATGCAGTATTCCACGTAACCATAAAATATTCCACAGTTGAATTAAGACCGTTTTCTCTTCTTTAAAGGGTAGCTTTTAAGGCAGTAAAGGTTCCAAACATTCTGTACAAATCCAGCGACTCTTATAATATGTGGTAAAATACAACTGAGAAATTGCAGGGGGGTCATGTTTGGAGGACCCAGAGGAGGCAGCACAGCCAGGCCCAATAGTGCATTTGGATCCTTCCCCCAGAACAGTCAGTGGAAGTGTGTGCACCATTACTAAAACCAGGGTGGCCTTGGGTTTTCCCATTCCAGTTCCTTCCTTTGTTGTCATAGCCATGGCAAATCAATGACACTAATCTCTGCTTCTAAACTTTCTACATGTTACCTGACCTCTTAGGCCAGGACAAACTATTGAGTTAATGTGTCAGCAGCATTGGCCCTGAGGAAAGATAAAGGCAAGTGTCTAGACTCACATGGTACCATGTCAAGGCAGAGGGTGAGCTGGGCGAAGTTGTTAGTTTCTTTCCAGCTGTCCTCTGTTTGATAGAGTAATGCTGCTTTCGGTTCCAATGAAGAAGCTAACAGAAAAGCCAGTCATCTATTGCATGTAACTGTGTTGGCCCAAGGAAGGCATGTTCTACACTGCAGTTTCTGACTCCTGGGCTGCACAAGCATCATCTAAGGCTAAGGTATTGCCTGCCCGGCTGCCCAAATCTGTAGTGACAGCCCCACAACATGGCAGACCACACACAGAGTGACACAGATGGTGCCCCATGTCCAGGCTTGAAGCAGATGAGATGCCAACCTGTTTGCCCTTTGAGTGACCTCCACTGTGGGGCCAGGACCCATGAATATCTCTTTGGAGTTGTACCCTGAGAGCTGAGGAATATTTTCTCACTTTATACTGATCCTACCTGGATACCTTTACTGTCATCACTCATAGTCTTGCTTGCTTCCCTGCCTTGCGAGTTTATGATAACCTGCTAAGCAGTTTATTTGAAATGGAGGTATTAAAATAAACTGTCAGGAAGGTATATTTTAAAAGACATGCAATCTTGTCATAGAGATATACATTTGTGCATTAGACTCATATTCCTGACATTATTCTGCAAAGGTGAGGTTATTTTACACACATTTGTTGTCATAAATACTGAACTAATAGCCCTCTTTTATCATCCAGGGGGAACATGCTGAAAATAGTCTATATCCAAAAAAAATCTGGTTTAAATAGAATAAATTTAAGCCATATCAATTCATGTTCAAATATCAGCAGATGGAAACTGTTGCCACAATGCACTGAATTTCTAACCTTTCTGTGAAAGAATTAAAATTAGGTTTATATTTTCTATTTTTGTGGCATCATAATTCCCTATTCTTAATAAAAGTGAAATTGAGGTAGAAGTAAAATGTGACAGACGGGAAGGCTCCACTGCCCACAGTGGGGAGTAACTCTTCTCTCCACCTGCTCTAGGATGCTAGGAATCCCACAAAAAGACACATGCAATCTTGTCATAGAGGTACTCATATGGGATTATGAGTCTAATGCACAAGTGTGCACCTCTTTGACAAGATTTCATGTGTCTTTTTAAATATACCTTCCCGACAGTTTATTTTAATACCTCCATTTTTCCCTTTATCATCTTCTACCACAACGTAGAGGGAAAAATGTGAAATCCAAATTCTGGTTTAGTAAGCTGGGTCCAAACTATTGTCAATTAGATCATCCTCAATCAAAGTTGTCCCTAAACCCTTCTTGTCACTGAAGATAGATGGCAGAGATGCTTATTTATTTCTTTATAGATCTGTGTAAGATCTGTAATAATCTCTTTATGTTTGTAGTATCCAACACTTAAGCTACTTCTCTTTGAACATCTACTTTTTTTTTTTTTTTTTTTTTTTTTTTTTTGAGATGGAGTCTTTCTCTGTCACCCAGGCTGGAGTACAGTGGCATGATCTCGACTCACTGCAACCTCTGCCTCCTAGGTTCCAGAGATTCTCCTGCTTCAACCCCCAAGTAGCTGGGACTACAGGCATGCGCCACCACACCTGGATAATTTTTGTATTTTTAGTAGAGACAAGGTTTCATCATGTTAGCCAGGCTCCTCTTGAACTCCTGACCTCAGGCAATCCTCTCTCCCTGACCTCCCAAAGTGCTGGGATTACAGGTGTAAGCCACCGCACCGGGCCTGAACATCTCTTTTTGATCTTTAAAACAGATAAGGGAGAGTCCTGATTAGCACCCCAAGTCCAAGGAAACAGAGGAGAGGAGCCTGGACAGTTACTCACAGATACAGGAGCACCAGGCTGACAGCCAGGAGAAGCCAGGTTTCGACGGCCAAGTTTGGGATGAAATCCATCACTACTTTCCTTCCTTATTTCCTCTGAGACTTCTTTCAGCTGCGTGCTGCTGTTTGCTGGACTGTGTGCATAGAGCTTTCCTGCCCTGCACAGCAGTGATTCAGTGAGGCTGCTGCATTGTTTATGTACTGGAGCAGGAGGCAGGGCTGGAGTTGTAGCCAGTAGCAGGGTCACCTGCGCTCCATCTGCAGTTGGAAGAGGCTTCACCTTGGCAGTTGGCAGAGAATCACACATAACCCCCACTGACCTCCTTTGAGTTCATATTCTTTGGGCAATCATAAACAAGTCAATCAGTGTTACTGGGGAGTCCAAGGGTTAGAGGTTCTTATCAGAAACTCAAGTGGAGCCACAGACATGAAATCTATTAAATTTCCTCTCTTCTGCCCTTGTCTCCATGGCTGTCTTCATTCCAGAATACTTGAAATCCATCCCAACAAGCCATACCTACAGATCTTTACCCGTGCCTAGAGTGCCCCTGTGCCCCCTAGAAGACTCCTATACATCCTTCCAAACCCAGCCAGACAGAGCCTTCTCTTCGAGTCTTTCCTCACCAACCTACTCACACAGATGTGACTGTTTCCTTCACGCAATCCGGTTGCTTTCCTCTTGACCACCATTGTGGGTTTCCACACCTGTTTTCCTTACCCGAGATGAGCTCCTGAAGGGCATAGTCTGGTCTTACTCACTGTCATGGCTCTGCTCCCTATCAGGGTGCTGAACACACAGTTGACAACCAGAAAGGCTGGTAGAGTTGACTTGGCTGAGATTCTTGGGCCCGTGTGTGTCATCTCCTCTGACTTCCCAATGACCATTCCATCTTCTTTGGTCATTCCTGTAGCCAGAGCTCTTGCTGTGCCTCAGCTGCTGTCTCTGCACTGCCAGGCTGGTCCTCTGCGATTCTTTTGGCAAGAGGACCCCTAAAGGTGAGACAGGGTGTGGATAAGATGGAGCTGATGTCTTCATGGAACACTATCAATTTGTGCTGCCTCCTGTGAACCCTTCAAAGGTCCTGCTGTAGACAGCAAGTTAGACAGGTTCTTTACCAAAGAGTAGCCCCTTCTCTCTGGAAATACTGCATGTGTAGAAACAGTGGGAGAGAACAGAGAGAAGAGAACAGCTGCCCAGATGGCCAGATGGATCCCAACCACCTTAGCCAGCAATGATGGGGCAGCGGTCACTGCAGGCTCACGCAGCATCAAGGACTCCAGTGAGATGTTCCCAGTCTCTTGAGGGTGGAATTGGGATTCAAAGCAAATGGCTTCCTTTTTGACAAGCGGAGGATTTTCTAATGGGAGGAGAGCAGGCCCCAGGAGCTGGCAGAGATGAGGCCTGTAATAGCAGTTGCTGCCATCTGTGAGCCTCCCAACCCATTCCTGATGGGAGAGATCTCAGTGATGACGGTGTGAAAATTGTATCAGCTCATTATCATCACTCTGACCCAAGTTCTGTGTCTGCTTGGCCTGAGGAATGGCGGATTACATGACAAACAAAATCTCAGAGTTCTTAAAACTCAATAGAGATAGAAGATGTTTAAGCTGTGCTTGTGCACTTCCTTCTTTATTCTTTCTCACACTCAGCCTTCCAGTAGAAACTGATACTCACCCCAGAAGGGCAACCCTTCCCATCCCTCTGGCCCTAAGCCTCTAGGGCTGGGCAGCATCTGGCCTGAGTGGATGAATGTCATGCCAGATTCCATGTCGGATTCAAGGCCAAGTGGGTGAATGTCTTGTGCAGTGTTGTGCCAGGTGTGTGCTGGGAGCCACATCTTCCTTGGGGACAGCCTAGTGGAGCAGGAGACACATAAACATGTTTGGATGGAGGTATGCATGTGCCAATAACTGGAATCCCTGGAATAACAGAGCCCTACAGAGAGGTACCTAAAGAAAGAAGTGACAGCAAGTGTCATAACAACAAAGGACAGACATGGAAGGGTGGTTGACAATCCCCAGGAGAAGCAGGATAAAGTCCAAGGAAGATGCATTTCTGTCTCCTTTCATTGTCTTCGTTGAGCACATTAAATACGGCCACGCTACTTCTCCAGTTTACAGATGTAGAAACTGAGGCTCAGTGATTGCAAGCGGCTTCCCAACTGCTACTGATCATAATAAAATATTCTAAAAAGCTAACAGGAAGGCACATGGAAGGTCCTATGCTGCCCTGGTGCACCTGCCATTCCCTGCCAAGTGTCACTATGGGAAATAGTGACACTCAAGGCTGCAACTGCAGATTGGTTGAGATTCATGTCCCTGGCTCAAGGGTTACTCCCAGCAGCACCCCCTGTGGGTCTTCTGGAACAAAGGACTCCACCTCATCTCAGCAGGGAGAAAAAAAGATGCAGTTTCTGACCATATCGCTGGCATTACTGGAGGATCTCCTTCTCTATGTTCCCACCCTGGGAGGTGCGCACCACACATTCAGACAAGTAAAGATTCCAGTGTCATCTGATAACTATCAACAGCTTCATTCACTCACCTAAATCCAGAGCTTTTTTTTTTTTTTAAGGAAACAAATATGTTTTATTCTTTCCTCTGAAACACATACTTGGCTATGATGATTTTTATTCTAAGATGACGATTTACCTGCCCTACGAACTTCAGGAGGTGGTCTGACTGGTTGGAAATCTATACCAACAGTGATAGACTAATCATTACTTAGACCTAAAACATAGCCAGCACTGTATCCTAACTAATGCAGTTGGTCTTGTTCTGCAAAGGAAAATAATTGAAGGCACGTTCTGCCACTTAATTCCACAGAAGGTAATATCTTCTAACATGTAGGGACTTGCCTACTGAGAGTCGCACTGAATGTGTCAAGGAAGATAACTATGTATTGGAAGAACACCCAACCACCAAATGCCTCTCACCTACTCATTTCCTGTATTAAAGCATTCGTCATGTTTTTATGCTTTTTTTTTTTTTTTTGGTCTTGTTTTTTTCCTTTTTGTGGAGAACAGGGTCTTGCTGTATTGCCCAGGCAGGTCTCGAACTCCTGGGCTCAAGCTATCCTCCCACTTCTGCCTCCCTAAGAGCTGGGATTATAGGCATGAGCCACAGCACCTGGCTCACCATGTTTTTAAAGCTGTGCTCCCAGATGTTATTCTTGGTCTTGGTCAACCCTTTACCCTAAACGCATAGAGCAGAGACAAATAAGCAGATAATTATAGTACAGCTGAGGAAAAGTAACCTTAAAAATATGAGAAATACAGGGTCCTTATCAACCATGAAAGACTTATCTTCTTTTTCAGTCTAGTTAGTGTTGGATCAAAGTTAAATCTCAAAGAACATTCAGAGAAGCATTAGGCTCAGATATCAGTATCAGTGGATGATGATGTCATCCACTGATGACAAGGATGTCCAGAGCCTCAGTGACGTATGGAACACCATCACTCTGGTCTTTTCATCTTTTTGTATTGGTAGCCCAATATAAAAAGCTGCTTCTGGGAAGCTTGTCCTGTCTTCCAGTGGCCAACTTAATTGATGGTGGTGTGGGGAGGCAGCATTGCTCTGGAATGATTTGTGTATTAGATTCAAATTTCACAGGCCATGATCTTGAGGATGTAAACTGAAAAAAAAAAAAAGTGGAAGATTCTTTCTCTGTAACTCTGCTCTCAAGTCCCCATTCTTCTCAGTAAGGCAACACTTGATTTTGCAGGTTGGGGTGGCCAGGTGGTATCTAAGGTTTTTGTTTTGTTTTGTTTTGTTTTGTTTTGTTTTTTTGAGACAGAGTGTCGCTCTTGTTACCCAGGCTGGAGCACAATGACGCGATCTCGGCTCACCGCAACCTCCGCCTCCTGGGTTCAAGCAATTCTCCTGCCTCAGCCTCCTGAGTAGCTGGGACTACAGGCACGCGCCACCATGCCCAGCTAATTTTTTGTATTTTTAGTAGAGACGGGGTTTCACCACGTTGACCAGGATGGTCTCGATCTCTCGACCTCGTGATCCACCCGCCTCGGCCTCCCAAAGTGCTGGGATTACAGGCTTGAGCCACCACGCCCGGCCCTAAGTTTTGTTTTTATTTATCTATTTTAAAAATTGTTTTGAGACAGGGTCTCACTCTGTTGCCCAGGCTGGAGTGCAGTGCTGCAATTACAGCTCACTGCAGCTCTCTCTCTCTTTGAAAGACATGAATACAACAGAATCAACAAGACTTGATGGATGGGAAGTGTGAGACCTTGGACATTTCTAGGCCTGTTTCCTCATCTGTTCATGGGGGAAATTGACCAGAATTGGCCTATAAAGACCAAGGTCCTCCTTGTCCCAATCAGAAGACCCCTGCAGGTCTGCCTGCCTCTCTCAACTTCTATGTCCCTGTAGGATTTTCAAAGACATTCCCTCTCCTCTATTCTCCTTCTCTTATAAATCACTTGATTGGGCTGGGTCCACCAGGTCTTCCAGCCCAATCAAGGCCCAAGAGCTCCTGTGGACAGGAGGAAGAACAAAGGTGAGATAGGATGGAACTGGGAGAAGGTAACCACACATTTAGGCCCTGAAGTTTAAATTCTGGATTGGTTTCTTAACTGAGATTGCAGGGAAATGGTTTCACACATGCTCACACCCACTCACACACAGCTCTTACTCCAGGAAATGATAGTAAATACATGTCATGCTAAGTACCTACCCTGCATGAACTGATTCACTCTGTCCAACAACCCTGCGGTATTGGTATTGCTGTGATCCCTATTTACAGATGAGCAAGCTAAGCCTCAGGATGGTTAACTGACCCATCTAAGGTTACATCACTAATTGCTCCTGCAGAGCCGAGATTCAAATTTAGATCCTCTAGCTTGAGAGCCCAGGGTCATAATCTTTTAACACAGGCCCGACCCTGCCTGAGGTCACACAGTTAGTGGGGAACTAGCAGAATAGGTAGTGGCCGGAGCTCTGCCCCGACACTGGGACACAGTGAGGCCCCCTAGCAAACTCGTTAATGAGGGTTGGGGTGCAGCAATGTCGTTTCTTCTCCCTGCCTGCCCTTGCCTTGAAGTATAAGCACTTCTGTAGACTTTATGACAAAAAAAGAAGAGGAGCTGTCTAGTGCCACCTTGTGAAGAGGGGGTCTTCTTCCCCTTTGCCTTCTGCCATGATTGTAAGTTTCCTCAGGACTCCCAACCATATGAAACTGTGAGTCAATTAAACCTCTTTTCTTTATAAATTAATAAAAAAGAAGAGGACT